GTCCATTTGTGCTCTGTGCTTTGCGTTGTGGGAGATGCTGAACTACAAGAATAAATGAGATAGGACCATGTTCCCCAAGCTCTTTACAGTTCTCACCTCAGTAACTTGGACAAACCTGGACAGGTGGTCCCACACACACCAGAGAGAAAGGATAGGAGGATATTTGGGTACTGTAGTTTTTTTCCTGGGAATACTAAGACTAATTATTTAAGCAGCTCTTCCATCCTCCATTCCTTCCACAAGCTATGGTGATGCATTTTGCAGACCGCACAACTTTCAGTATCCAGGCCAGGCAAGAGGGAATGCAGAGGTTCCTCAAATAATGAACAGAACACGAATTCTTTCTCAATGAACCAAGAGTGACACAATTATTTTAGTGTTTTCCAGCCCAACTTTCCTCCTTATAGGGTATATTGGTCTCCAGGAATATCTAGTATCTTTGAATCTTGAGCAAGAAAGCTCAACAGGACCTAAAGCAAGATTGAAAGTGTTCTGTGAGGTGGCTTATACCTGTAATCCCAGTTACTTGTGGGTGGAGGTCTGAAGCCAGCTCAGGCCAAAAAAAATAAATAAATAAAGTTAGCAAGACCCTAATCTCAATAAGCCAGGTGTGGTGGCACATGTCTGTCATCTCAGCTACTTGGGAGGCCATAGGAGGATTGTGGTCAGACTGCCCAGGGCAAGACTGCCAGAATTCTACAGATCCTATCTGGAGAATAACTAAAAAGCAAAACAACAAAAAACTACAACCAGGGGACATGGCTTCAAGTGGTAGAGCATTTGCCTGGCAAACTGGAGGTTCAGAGTTCAAACTCCAGTACTGGGGGGAGGAGAGGAAAGGGGGAATATATTGAAAGTGAACTATCTGCCAGCCTAATGTTAAACACTGGACATATAAAGAAGTAAAGGAAATGGCCCTGATCCTTAGATAAATCTCCAGATTAGTTTAAGTTGAACCTGAATTTGGATGAACAGGAGGAAAATGTAAGGGGAAGAAGAGTTACTAAAAAATAACATCAAAATTGAAATTAGTGATTTGAGGTGAGTTTCAGGCAATTCTTCTCAGTGACCTTTCACAGAAGAGGGAAATATAAGCATTCTAGAAAGTGGAGGAGGCACTTCATGTCCTTTTCTGTCTAATGTCTAATTGAAAACCCTGGGGATGGGAAAATCTCACCCGTGATTCTAATCTTGATTCCCGGGTGTCTCAAAAAAGTGCTCCCTTTCCCAAGAACATCTGTTTTCTACCCAGAGAAACGAGAACACTACCCAAAAATGTAATAAAGTTATTGCAAAACAGGCTGGTAGTGTAAGATACACTACAAGCAAGTGACAAGACAAAGGCTGGGGAGAATATGGGCATTGGGGGCTCAAAGTTTGGTTGAGGCATGACTTGATCTATTTCTAGAATATTCCTTAGGTATTATGTTGTGATAGTAACTAAGAGCAATCTTGAGACATTGGATTGTGTGTGGGATATCTTGTTTGTCACTGATGAAATACAGATAGAGATCAAAGACTTTATTGTCACCCTTTATCCCATTTTTCTGTTTTGTTGTTGTGTGAGACAGTCTCACTCTGTAGCTCAGGGTGGCCTCAAACTCTTGATCCTCCTGCCTCTGCCTCCCCAGGGCTGGGATTATAGTTGTGCATTACCACACCTGCCCATTATCCTGTTTTATTTTCTTCCCAGCCTTGATCATTATATGAAAGTCTCACATTTATTTATTTATTTACATATTTATTTATTATATGTTGGCTTTACTCTGTAATATCCCCAGCTAGAACTATAGAGCAGTACCTGATTCTTAATAGGTCTTCAGGAAGTATTTTTTAAAAGACTGTCTCATAAAGTAGCTTTGTCACCGGAGCCCTTTTGCTGCAAGGTGTGGAAGACTGCAGTCTAGCACCTCATATGCTCACCTAGGAGGCTGTATTGCTGGTACTGCTGTACATATATAGGAGTCTGTGTATTTACTTCTTTATGTATGTATTTATTGCCTCAAGATCTGTTTCCTTGTCCTTTCTATCTTTCCCATATAAGTGATTGATTCCCATCTCAGTTTTCTTTGAATCCAGTTCTCTTACTGCATTTATTTATCATTGTTATCTGTTGCCACCTGATAGATTTTTATCTCTGCATATCTTTGGATCACTATGCAGTAAGCGCATAGAAACACTTAATAAATGCATGTTGAATGAAAAAATGAATTAAGTGCCTATGAAATTCTTTCTCTACAACGTGGTGGTGGAGAGAGGGGTGATGCTGGTAAAGGGGCTTAGAAAATAAACCATCAGCATAGGTTTGCTGAGGGCCGGGCACCAGGAAGAAATCCAGTGTTCCCAGCTGGCGAAGGAGCAATGCTGAGCCTAGCTGGTTAGGAAAGCCTTCCTGAAAGAGATGGAATGTGAATAGGACCTTGAAGGGTGGGTAGACTCTACATATGGGAGGAAATGGGCAGGGGGGAAAGTGCAAGGGAGGCTGACTTGTTGGAGGAAAGACTCAGGTGGGGCAAGACATAGAGCCAAATAAAGTAAAGTATGGGTGAGATTCAGACTGAGGGAATTGGATGCTAGATGGTGTGAACCACTAAAATAAAATGTCCAGAGATACTCCTTGAACTCTACACACAAAAAGAATTCCTTTTATTCCAGCAGATTTGTTTTCTTTACCTTGCAGTCACCTGGAAGCAGAAGGCTCTTGCTATAATGTTGCTTAAAAGAAAGGTACCAAGTGTTTAGTGAGATTGCTCTTTCTGGGAAGACACTTTTTTATCATCCCCACATTTAGTCCTCACCACTTCCTCCTTATTGTATAGCTAAGGTGATGGACCCATTGGCCTTCATCATGCCCTCCTGTTTGCTCTGAGGCAAAGGTGTATATAGGATGTGCTCATCCTTGGCCAATTTTTAACCTGCACGAGTTGGGACAGACTGCCGTCTGGCAGCAAGGATCCCAACAAGATCCTGGGATCTGCCTTCCACATCTTGAGGTTCTCTTCCCTCTTCCCAAGTCAGCTCTCCATTGGCCATCCTGTGTATGCCCGTTCCTGTCTGACTACCTCCTTTTAAGGGAGCCAATTTTCCAGTAGCTTTTGGAAATTTAATCACTTTTTGCTTTGGAGGACTTTGATCAGAAATAGTTATTTAAAGCGTACATTTTTGGGATACAATTCCATTTTTGTTTTTTTACGTTGTTCATTTTTATGTAGTCATAGACAAAACATTGGGAGACTATATACCAAACAGCAGTAATTCTCTTTCAGTGATGGGACTGTGGGTGATGTTAAAACATATTTTCCTGCTCATTTCTACTTTCTAAAGTTTTTGTAGTGAACATACATTGAACTCCTAAGAAATTTGAACTTATAATAGCAACTAATTAAAAATTACAGGATTTTTCTCAAAAAGCATCTACTATTGAAGTTAAAAACAGGTATTTCACCTGCTTTAAATGATATGCTGCCATGTGGGCATTGGTGGTTCAGTGGTAAATGATATGCTGCCATTTCCCAAAATGTTAGTTTTCTTTGGGGTGGGGAATTTATCCTTTGTTGATAATTTTGTTTATTTTTCATTTCTTTGACTTGGTGATGCATAATTTTGTAGTACACAATTAAAGGATAAACAGAACAGTGTTTTCATGCTGTCTCCTTTTCTGATTATTTCTAACTCTTTCTTTCATGGCTACAGCACTGTCGCCTCTGACACTCTTAATGATGTAAGTTTTCTTCTCCATGCCTCACCTCCACTTCCTCAGCCTTGACCCTATTTGCTTTGGCCTCTTTTGTTTACATAGTCCCCTCCTCAGATTTGCTAACATTTGCCAGTTGGGGGCCAAACATCCAGCTAAGCACCCCATATGCGTAGCTGGTCACCTCAGAGTCTCTGGGTAAGGGAGACTGGGGAGTCATTTGCTGGGGACCAGCTTTCCCCCAATCCTTGTACTTTTAGCCTACATGCTTTCCCTTTCATAACAGAGGGCTCCAGTGCTGCCAGATACCAAGCCTTTTGAGGGTTTTGTAGTATAAATTGGGTTATTTCTCAGCTTTGCCCACTGGTAGGGTAAGGATTTGACCTGCTCAGTTACAACTTTTTCATCTGCTTTTCACTTTCTGAAGTTATGTTGCTGTTGTCTTCTTTCTCATAGTGCTTTCCATTCTAGTGTGTGTTTTGTTTTGTTTGTGGGGGGGGGTCTTTTTTTTTTTTTTTTGTGGTGCTGGGGTTTGAACTCAGAGCCTACACCTTGAGCTATTCCACCAGTCCTTTTTTGTGATGGGTTTTTTCGAGATGGGGTCCCAAAAATTTTTTGCCCAGACTGGCTTTGAGTCATAATCCTCCTGATCTCTGTCTCCTGAGTAGCTAAGATTACAGGCCCCTGGTGAGGATGTCTTTAAAATTCACAGGACGGGGGCAGGGGATGAAAGAGAATGATGAGGGGGGTGAATTAAACTATGATATATTTCATATACTGTAAGAACTTTTGTAAATGCCACAAGGTACCCCCAGCACAAGAATAAAAAAAAGAAAGAAAATTCACAGGGAAGAATGAAATCAGAAATTGTTTAATCTACACTTTTTTTTTTAATTATTGGGCATGCTGGGATCCAACCCTGGACCTTGCACATGCTAGGCAAGTGCTTTACCGCTTAGTTACACCCACAGCCCTGATTCGCTATCTTAATCCACTACTCCCCTAAACATTTTCCAATTCCTCCACCCCACAGTGCTCCATAATAAGACACAAAGGATGTCGATCTCAGCTCTAAAGCTTTACTTGTCTTGACCATGGACGTCATTCATCAACATAGTTCTAAACGACTTTCAGCCATTTCTAGACAGCTGCTACATCTTCCCTAAGTGAAGATTTGCCATATTCCACATGCCATGTTGCCACTGAGCCACTAGCTGGGGGGTGGGGGTGGAAAGCCAGGTGAAGAGCATGCAGGAAAGTGTTTCAAAATTCTGGAGTCAGCCTGTTTTGTGACTTTTGTGTTTCAGTGGATGGCACTTCCTAGAAGAATGAGTGTCATTCTCACTGGTTTGTGAGAGAGTGCATGCAGGTCACATGTGTAAGTTGATAATGCCTACTGTACCAGAGTAGGGACTCCTCAGATTAACCTCAACACTGATGTGGAAGATATGTCTCAGGAAGGAGTTGGTACTGAGCAGGTGTCATTTTCCTTTCAGACTCCCGTGACATTTGATGACATCACAATGTACTTGCTCCAGGAGGAATGGATGCTGCTGAGTCAGCAGCAGCAGGACTTCTGTGGTTCTGACAAACTGGTGGCACCATTGGGTATGGATTCCTGCATGTCTCCATCACTGTCAGTCCAAATCAATGTCTCCAGCCTTATCTGGGCCAGGACGTACTGGAGAATTTTCTGGAATCGTAACATTTTTCTAGGCATCTTTAAACTACCCACCTACTGACTCCCGTATCTAACTTAATTGCATGCAAACTGCACACCATCCCTTCCCTTCTCCCTTTAAATTGGTCAAGACAGGTAGGGAAATCCAACATGCCAAGGAGAGACCTTGAGGTCTGTCTCCAGGTGCCAGGTGGGAAACCCAGCCTGTGGATTTCTGGAACCTCAGAACCCCGAAGGGATAAACAGCAGTGGAAGAGCATCAGATTTTCAGTGTACAAATCTGGCCTGTCTCCCAGCACCACCACTGGATACTCAAGTGCCTTTGACCTTTTTAAGCATTGATATCCTTAGAGCTGTAGATTTAATGAGATGAAGCAATTTAAGCCTTTGCAGAAATGTAGATATTTTTGCATTTCCTCTAGTGTTTTTTTGGATGCCTTTTTCTCTGCTTCTAAGGCTAGACCTTTTGTACCAAGGACTGAGGTGGCTGTATGTCAGTGTATGTGCACACATATGTTCCATAGGCTGAGCATCCATAATGCCAAAGTCCAAAATCTGAAATGTTCTGTCTGAAACTTTTTGAGTCATTTGCATTAAAAAGTTTTGGATTTCAAGGCTGGTGGTTTGGCTCAAATGCAAGTATCATTTAAAAAAAAAAGGTTGTTTTGGATTTTTGGATTTCAGATGTTGGATTTTCATATAAGGGTGTTCAACTAGTAAGGGCTTTGCAAATATTTCAAATTCTAAACAACCCTCAATCCTGGTCCCAGGCTTTTCGGGTGAGGGGTAATCAGTTGGAGTTCACTGACTAACAGATGACTGTCTCCCATGCCTTTCCTTTCTTATGCCACAAAGGAATAATGAGGGTGTGGTAGGAGCTACGTCTCACTTTCTGTGTGTGGCAGATTGTAGCTGGGCTGGGTCTTACTTCTGTGCTTGCTAATTAGGGTTTGAAAACCTCAGGTTTTTCAAAGCCAGAAGTTGCAAAGCAGCAGCTCACGGGCCACATTTGGCCCACAGATTGGAGTTCTGTTTTGCTTTGCCTTTTGGCTTTCACCGTTTTTGTTTGACGTTTTAGAATTTTTTTTTTTAATAAATCTTTCCTTTATTTATTTATTTGGTGGACTTGGGGTTTGAACTCAGGTCCTTGTGGTTGGTAGGTAGGTGCTCTACCAATTGAGCCACTCCCCCAGCCTAAAAATATTTAAGTTTCTAATATTTAGCCATTGCAAGTTTTCACATAAGAAATATGAATTTCTGCTGTCTCATGACAAATGGAACTGTGTGGCTGCACTGAGCTTGCATCCCACATGGTGGCCCTGACGTTCTGAAGCTGAGTAGCTGCTGTCTTCCTGCAGGATCAAGTCCTTTAGGTTGCCACAGTCCCCAGGCCTGGTCTGTTTTCCTCAGTTATATAACAAAGCTGCTGCTCAGTCTGATACAATAATTTAATACCTTTCCAGCCTTATTTGTGCTAGCATCGTTGTTTTTATCTAGTCACCCTCTCACATTCTCTCAGGGATTTCACAGAGAGTTTCCAAACTACTTAGCTAGCCTGCCTGATGTCTGCTCTCCTACTCTACATGTTATCTCATGACATCCAGGATGCCCCAGGCAGACCTCACTGTTGTGATCTGGAGCCAGACTTCACACTGTCTTCCTCTGTTCCTGATTCAGGACCCAATGTTGTCCCTGAGCTGTTCTGTGAATTTGGGCAAGGACCTAAGCCATGGCTAGACATTGTCCAGGGCCAGAGGAATCTCCTGGACCATTACCGTGGTGAGTGGGCCAAGTGCCCGGAGGTGGCACTTAGCTGGCAGAGGAGCAGGACAGGGCCCCCATGACCCAGTCTCATCCTCAGCCCTGCCTGTTCTCTACCACTGTACAGTGTTGCCCTTCCTGAAGTTGCCACCTTATCTGAGTGTTCATACCTCCCAACATCACCCTCTACCTCACAGCCCCCTTTCTTTGATTTCTACCCTATGATGTGTTTATACTAAAAGTTCTAAAGAGATATGCCTCTCTTGCCTAGAACAATGCCTGGCACACTGTAGTTGTACAATAGATAACCAATGAATGAAGAGTGGAAGAATGAGTGAACAGCTGTCTGCTAAGCTCTAGGATTTTCTTTTTCCTCCTTTGATAAGCCTCTCAGATTGGCTTAGCTAGAGCCAGGCCAGATAGCACCTTTTTATTATATATGATGACAGAGTAACTCAGCCCCTCCTGTGGGAAAACAGGGAAGTGGAGAATAAGATCCTACATCAGTTGAACCACAAAAATTTGCTCTCCTTTGTGGTTTCTCTAAGATGGACCACAAGCAGCCCTAGACTGCTGGATGATTCAGTAAAGAGTCACAGAGGCCCTTTTGTTTTGTTTCTCCTTGCTTAGCTTTTCATTTCAAGCCTACTGACTCTATTAACAGCTCTGTGCTGTTGGGATTAGCTGTAGTTTTGTAGACTAGTCCACTCGCATGGAGCAAAAAATGTTGAGTCCTTGGCCACTAGGCATCTAAACTTGATGTGTAAGAAATTATTCCAGGTATTTAGGGTCATCTAAGTTTCATTTCCTGTAAGGAGTAAAAAAAGAAACTTCTAGTTCAGCTTGAAGAAGAGAAAAAATTTTTCATGAGGCTATGAAAATTTTACTGCTTTGAAGGGTGTGGTGTAAGAGAGGAAGCTGAGTTTCTCTTGAGCACTAAATCTGCATCACCAGGCAGAAGTACATACAGTAAGATATTTTGAAAATATCTATCTCTCTTCAAAGAGAGAGAGAGACCACATTTATAAAGTTGTTACAATGTTCTATCTGATTATTAGTTATTATTGTCAGCCTCTTACTATGCCTAATTTATAAATAAAACTTTTTACATGTATGGATGGATAGGAAAACACATGGTATATACTCTATGGCCCAGGCATCCACTGCAGGCCTTGGAACAGACCCCCTGAAGACAGGAGGGCACTACTGTCCTCAGAGATGGATTGCAGTTTATGGAAAACTATATAGGGTCTGAAACTGTGCCAAGGGAATAGGTATCTCTCTAGCCCTAAAGGTACTTAAGCAAAATGCAGAAGCCTCTCTGTCAGGCCTGCCACAGAAGGCGGTTCCTGCAGAGTGAGGAACTGTGGTCAATGGCTTCAATGATTACATTCAGCTCTGTCTTCTGTGATGTCAATATTCTTGTCCATAAGTGGTCTGAACCCCTGAAGATTGTGCCACTATCTTAGGTCACGTTGATCAAAGTGCACAGAGCTCCTCTTAGCCAGGTACATCTGTCCTTTTTTTTTTTTTTTGTAAAATGGGGTTTGCTTAAAGCCCATCTCTTTGATTTTCTTTTTATTCTGGATTAGGCAAGATGAACCTGGAGAGTCTGAAGGACTGAAAGTAGAGAATTCAAGTGTGTTGTACTTCAGAGTAACCAGAAGGGGAGTGACTGTGTCACTTTGGACTGAGTGTGTCCTTTCACTTTTCATATCTGGTGAATTTCAGAGCTGCTGTGAGTTGCAGTGGCTCTGATAATAGGATTTTAAGGAAAATTCCATTTGTCTCTTTCTCTAAAGGGAAAAACCAAGTGGGCTACATGAAGGAAATGGATATACAGGGTCCTGCCAGGGAGAGTGGACAGTCCCTGTCACCTCAGAAGAAAGCTCGCCTTGCCCACTTCAGTACAGAGAGTGGCAGCACCGAGGGAGACTGGATGGGAAGAAGCAAGAAACCCCTGAGGCCCCGCTCTATCCAGAAGTCATGGTTCACGCAGTTTCCTTGGTTGATCATGAATGAGGAGCAGACTGCTCTGTTTTGTTCTGCCTGCCGAGAATACCCATCTGTCAGGGACAAACGATCAAGATTAATAGAAGGATATACAGGTCCATTCAAGGTGGAAACTCTCAAATATCATGCCAAGAGCAAAGCCCACATGTTCTGTGTCAATGCCTTGGCCACCAGGGACCCCATTTGGGCAGCTCGCTTCCAGAGCATCAGAGATAGATCTGCAGATATCGTGGCTGGCTCTGAGCACCTCTTCAATACAGACTGTCCCGTGTTCTACCCCCCAGAGCCTCTTGGACACTTTGATGGCATGGCTGAACTCCTGCCAAGCTCAGGAGCTGAACTGGAGGACCCTGGGGGGAGTGGAGCCATCCCTTCTTTGTATCTAGATTGCATTTCAGATTTCAGACAAAAAGAAATCGCCAGTAACATTTTATGTAACAACACTATTAAATTCTGCAGCCAGGTAATATGTTTGTAATGATTCTGTATCTCAAAGAGTGGGATTTGTATTGAGAACTATATATCTTGCACTATGATGGAAAAAGAATAATAGCAATACTCAGTGCTGACATTGTAATGTTATCATAAGCTCACATGCTTATAATGGTCTAGGTATTGTTTTAAATGCTTTACAGGTATTATTTCATTTAATTTTGATGACCATCCTATTACCATCATCTCCTTTTTATAGATCACAAAGCATAATTAGGGGACAGAATATTCTAACTTCTGATGTAAGGAACAATAATCCTCATCCAAAATCCTAAACAGACACAGAACTCAAGAAATAATCCACATTCACACAGTGACCACAGGTTGTGTTAAAAATCAATATTTTAAAATTTTTAACTAGGGAGTCACTTTGTAACATTGCAGAGTTTTACACTCTTTGATGTTGCTAGGAGGTAGTAGAATAAGGGTTAATAAACTCACCGAGTTGGGAGAAAACTGAGAACTCAGTAGAACTCATGGCATGTCTAGAGTTCAGCCACTGTGGTAAATGCCAGACTCCACCCAGAGCCCTTGACCACTGGCCCAGTGCTTTCCTTCTGCTTTTTTCTACTCCCTGCAACACTGCTAGATCCTAAATGACTCTAGCACTCACCTTAAATTCATTTTGTAAGTTTCTGATTTTCTGGAAAGTTGGTCTCCAAGGAAACTATGTTAATTGGAAATCCAAGTAACTAGAACTTTCCCCATTTCTCAAAATTAGAACTTTCCCCATTTTTCAACTGTTGCGTATAAGTAGACTTTTATAAACCATTGTACCATTGTTAGTGGCCCCTTCAGGCATTCAATTAAAGTAGCTCATGTTCCTCATGGCTAATATCATGAGGAACCCAGCAAAAGGTAGAAAGCTTGAATTTTTCCAGAACCCAGAAAAAGATCTAAGCTCCTTTTTCTTCATGTCTTTGTTTTTTTTTTTTAAGAAGCTAATAAACAGGTCTAACCTTTATAATCTGAAGTGAGGCATGTGTAAATTTAGTCCCTGATTGCAAGCGTCTTTAGTTCTCTTTAACTGCATCCTGCTTTGTGTGCCATTGAGAAATTCCAGAGGTGCTCCTAGAGGCAGACAGTCCCCTCTGCAGTCACCAATTAGAGAGTACTTCAGGATTCTAGAAGACAGGGTGCTATCAGAGGCTCTGCCAAAGGCGCCTGTTCTACCACCATTCATTTTTATTTCCTCCCAGGAGATCCTAGGATATGACTAAGGTGCATGTGTTTTTGCCTACTAATTCTGGGCCTCACGAATTTGATTCTTTGACTTTCAATGGAGGGATTCATTCCTTGGCATGCATCTGGGCCTCTGTGGGCTTCCCAGGAGAAAGGGATCTTCAGAAGGCTGCAGGAAGTTGTGTGTGGTGTCTGGCTCCAAAGATAGACTGAGTGACGCTGCTCTCTATTGCAGGATGCTTCTGGAGAGAGGCTGCCAGAGGCCGCAGCAGTATTTGGGGAACCCCCAGCAGTGTTTGAGGATGTGGCATTGTATTTCACCCGGGAAGAGTGGGGCCTGCTGGACAAGAGGCAAAAGGAGCTGTATAGAGATGTGATGCGGATGAACTATGAGTTGTTGGCATCCCTGGGTAAAGTCTCCAGTCTTATATGTCACCAGTATTTGACTGGGGTACCTACAAAAGCAGCTGTAGCTCATGGCCTGCTTCCCATTTCTGTCCTCTTCTTGTCGTGGGCAGAGAATGACATTGTCTTCTGTCCTCAGAAGTCTCCCTGCTTTGGGATATCATACTTCATCTATCACTTCTTTATCTACCTTCCTGTCTACCTCTGTGTCCATCCTCCACCAAACATTCATTGAATACCCACATATCTACCTGCATGCTAGATAGGCCAAGGTCTCTGCTTTCAAGGGGCTGTGGGAGAGGCAGGCATTTGCATGAAAAGCTGTTAAATAATGCAAGCTCCAAAGGAGAGCTTCAGGAAGGGTCCTGGGACTGCTGTGCTGGACCACATGATTCTGTCAGAAGTCCTCACAGAGGAACTGTTTTAAGGCGAGGAGGAAGGGTGGTGTCTAGACTAACCAGAGGGGGGGCAGCATAAGCAAAGCCTAGAGACAAAAGGGCCTCCCAGGGGGTTCTCAGTCCATCTGTACCTTTGGTGCTAAGTCTACTCTATCTTGTCCAGGTGCCAGCACAGGTTGGCAGCCTTGGGCATATTAGGCAAGTGCTGTACCACTGAGTTACATAACCAGGCCTTGAACCTGCTTTTAAATGAACAGTTTCAATTTGATGCAGTCAAATTTAATATTAATTTCTCATCTGCTTAACAGCTGAATAGCATAGACTGGAGGTTCTCAATAGATGTGCCTATCCTGGTTATTCTGCTTACCTGTTCCGTGAGCCTGGCTCTCACACAGCTGCCTCACCAATAGTGCAAACTTACGGAGGGCATACATCTTGATTAGGAGAAAAGAAGAGGCTTTTGTTTTATCTTTAATGTTTGTGTTTCAGTCTATCCTTTTGTGCTCACACTCTTTTAGAACTATTTACTTAACATTCCAAAGAGTTTCTGGCCATTCTTTCAGTTCCATATTTTAAACTCTGATTTCAGATTTTGACATATTTAGTGAGGTCTCTCTTACTTGCCCCGCGCCCCCCACCCCCCCGCCGCCCCGCCATCAAAATCCAGAAATCTCAATTACATTCCACATTAAGAAACATATTTGTCAATAACAGAACAGCCAGGAATGATGTGGGAGTCCTGGATCTTTATTAGCAAAGGTGTTGTCATATGCTAAGTGGTGAGTCACTCACTTCAGGGGGGCAGTCCCTGTCTACAGGGAGATCGTTAACTGCTGCCAGGCCTCCATAACTGGAGACAAAGTTGTGTCACTAAATAGAAACAAAGCTGAGTGAGAAGACTGCAAGGAGAAGAGCCAGGAGAGTTAGAATCGCCCAGAGGACCTCCAGGAGGCCAGCTTCTCCACAATAGCTCATGTGACTGTGCTTCCCAGTGGGGGCCACAATAGCTCTTTTAGAACTGATTCTTGGGGTCAGGGTTGTCAGCCTGGGGATGAAATTAGCTCAGAGACATCAGATATCTATACTTTATAACCAAACCATTTCTGTGGACATTTATGGAATGTGGGTGTTAGCATGTATGTTTGTGCATTTGCTGTAGTATGTCTCGTCAGTCACTAAGGCATAGAAAAGTCTGTTTGGAAATTCCTTCTGTGTCACTTATTCTAAAGGAAAAAAAAAAGAAGAAAAAGAAAAAAAGAGGTTTTACTGGGGCTTGAACTGAGGGCCTACACCTTGAACCATTCTACCAGCCTTTTTTGGTGAAGGGCATTTTCAAGATAGGATCTTGTGAACTATTTGCCCAGGATGACTTCAAACTGCAATCTTCCTGATCTCTGCCTCTTGAGTAGCTAGGATTACAGGTGTGAACCACCAGTGCCCAGCCAACAAGAGGTTTTGATAACACTTTGGCCACAGCTTCAAAGAGTTGTGATTGGGATACTGTACTCCCGGGACCAGGGTGGTGATGACAATTATACATATCCAGACCCCAAGGAAAATGTAATCTCAGGCAAATAGATTCAGGGTACTCAGTCCTCTATTTTCAGTTATTCCCCCTTTTTTTATTGGCACTGGGGCTTGAACTCAAAGGTGCATGCTTGCTAGGCAAGGTTTTCTACCACTTTAGCCACTCCACTAGTCCTTATTTTCAGTTATTCTTTAAAAATATTTCTTCAGGGCTGTGTATGGTGGTACACATCTGTAATCCCAGCTACACTGAAGGCATAGGTAAGAGAATTGAGTTCCAAGACCAGCCCTGGACAAAAGCTCAGAACTCTATCTGAAAAAAAATCTAAAATCAAAAGAACCGAGGGCGTGGTCTAAGTAGTAGACAAATGGCAAGACCCTAAGTTCAGTCCCTAGTATTAGCAATATATATATCAACCACTGTGCACACCTGTAATCCCAGCACTGGGGAGGCTTAGGAAGGATATTCATGAGTTCAAAGCCAGCTTGGGCTACATGTTGAAATCAACTCTCAAAAAATTAAAAAAAAATTTTTTTCTTCATATTTTTTTTAATCAAAGTAATTCTAATAAGACATATAATGGAGAATGACAATCTTCTGTCCTAGCTTGTTCTGAGTCCTTCTCCCTAAAGTCATTTAGCTGTGTCTTTCAGTAACCTGCCTCCTTATTTCTAAATAATATATCATATATTATCCTAGAAAGAGTGGCTTCAGACGAAGTACTCAGAAAACAACTTCATTCTCTTCACCTCTGGTGTGCCTCAGCCCTCAGGGCTCTCCTTTCTGCCCTCTTGATCAAATCTAGGGCAGGGCCCTTGACTTTTCCTTGTCACACCCAGGTAACAGAACACCCTCCAGGCAATGAGCAAAAGACTCAGTACAGAGCTCTTCAGAATGTTCTGATCAAAAGGACAAAGCTGACAAACTGTTGCAGATTAAAGGAGATTAAAGGGGCGTGGCAACCATTCTGTGTGAAGCCTGGTTAGATGCTAGGCTGGCAAAAATAGATACAGACAGCAATAAAGGACATTTTAGGGACCACTGAAGGAATTTCATTGTAGACTGTGGGTTAAAGTATTATACCATGTTAAATTTTCTGATTTTAATTACATACTTGTTTGTGTAGGACATACTTGTTTTCTGCTTGCCACATAACGAATTTCCACAAACTCATTTATTGTCTTGCAGTTCTGTAGGTCAGAAGTCCAGGTGAGTTCAGCTGGGTTCTCTGCTTTGTCTCCCAGGGCTGGAATCAAGATACTACCCGGGAGCTTTTATCTGAGCTGTTGGCCAGGGATCACTCTCAGCATCAGGTGGCTGCTTGCTGGTCCTTTCCACCCGGCTGCTTCCATCCTCAGTCAACAGGAGTGTGGAGTAGTCCTGTGCTTTGAAACTCTGGCTTCCCTGCTTGCTGCCAGCTGGGATTGCACCCAGCCTTTAGAGGCTCCTGTGATGAGGTCAGGTCCATCCAGATAACCTCCCTTTGCCACATATGAAGGATCACAGATTCTACCCACATCTAAAGAATGGTGCTTCCCCTTTATCAGGCAAGAGTGAGCATCATTGGAGACTATGTTAAAGAGTTCTGTTGACTTCCTTCGAGAATGTCCTTGCAGTACTCATGGAAGTATTTAGGGACAAAAGGGTATGACAGTGTACCCCTCAAGGGATCACGGGTCAGGATGCAGTTCCCTTCAGGTTTACTGTTAGGGAGAAGAGCCCACCTTCCCTTTAGTAGTAGGAAAGGGCTCACAATCCACTTGACAACTCTTTCCAAAAACATTCTAATACCCATCCTCCTGACCTCTTCGGTTTCAGCTCTTCCACTCCTTCTTCACAGGCAAGGGCCAGGCCATGTTCTGTCCAAGTGTACCTGGATGGTCCCTGACATAGGGGATATTTGTCTCCTTTTTTGTGGGCCTTCAGCCCCAAACAGAATCATACTTGACTACCCTGCTGCATGTGTTCATTGCTCTTCCTGGTTTGATTTTAGATGTTATCTATTGATTCCTACTGTGGAAGATGAAGATATGGCCTCTTACATCACCCAGGCCCACTTCTCTTCCCTCCATCTTCTCAGAACAGGTATAGCACACTTTTATGGTTGCATCGATGTAAATTATCTGTCTAATTGTGATTATGTATTTTTTTGAGACAAGCTCTTGCTATATAACTGAGGCTGGTCTCAAATTTGAACTCACTATGTAGCCCCAAACTGGCTTCAACATGCCTGGGATCACAGGCATGTGCCAGTACATTCAGCATTCATATTTTTTATTTCACTGATTTTTTTATACTGTCTTCCATTCTTACCAAACTCTCCAGACGAATTGTAAAACTCCTCTGAAGTCTTTCTACGTGGTCGAACATCATGTGATAATCTGTTTCATTCTTTTTCTGGAGGTTTTCCTTTTGGCCTTCCACTATAAACTAGTTACTAGGCCTGCCTCATAGCTGTGGCCTTAGACTTAACCTTATCTCTCCCCCTACTTCCTAGATCTGTATGTTCTTTAAAGGTGAATATCTTCGTTTTGTTGGATACATCTTCTAGAAAGGGTGGATTCTACATATCTTCATATGCCCTTATTCTACCTGCACAGTTGTTTGATAACTTGATGGACATAGGATTCCAGATTGGAAACAGTTTCCTCAGCATTTCAAAAGCATTGCTCTGTTAAGTGTAACTGGTGCTGTTGAGAAATGTCTCACTTATGCCTCAATCTTTGAATATGACCTATTTGTTCTGTTCTGAAAGTTTTAAAAGTCTATTCCAGTGTTCTGAGTGTTTCATGGTATGCCTCCATATGGCTGTAATTTTATTTTTTGTTCTAGTGCTTCCTTTCCACAGGGAAGCTTACTTTCCACTTTGGGAAAATATTCCTGTATTTCCTTTGTGATTTCTTCCTATCTGTTTTTCCTTTTCTTTCTTCCCCAAACTTTTCTTTTAGTTAGATATTGGACTTCCTGGATTGAGCCTCTGGTTTTTTTGTTTCTTTTTCTCCTATTTCCTGCTTCTGTCTTTTTTGTACTACTTTCTTAGAGATTTCTTCAATTTTATTTTCGAGCAAATATTTTAAATTCTGGGGTTTTTCTTTTTTTTGTTTGTTTCTAAGCACTCTTATTGCTGCTTTCATGGATGTCTGTTATGCCTTCTCTCACTGTCAGTTTTCTTACTGTCACTTAATTCTCATTGTTTTGAAGTGTTGGAGGGAGAGGGAAGGAAGATTCCATTTCTACAAAGAAAACTCTTCTTTCTCCTGCATGGAGGGTATAAGTCAAGCCAGGGTTGTTGGCACTGAGCAATACACTGCTCGGTTTGTAGACTACGAATCTCTGCTTTTAGCACCATACTTCTCCTTCACCTTTCCATGTCCTAGGGTCTGGAGCCTTTGTTGGTAGATTTTCTTGTAGACTCAATCTCTGTTCCCCTTCCTGTGGAAGGTGCAGCGGGAATCTCTGAACAGACTTTGATACTGTCCCCTGCTCCACTGATTCTTTACCTACCACCTTCTCCCATACCAGGGCCTCCAGAGTAATTCAGGCATTCTGTGGAAGAAATCAATCTGCTTCTCTTTGCTGTCTCCTCTGCAGGTGTTTGGTATTCAGTTCTGTTGGGCCTTCTTTCATTCAAAAAATGTATTAGTGTTTCTAGTCCAATATTTCTCTTCGACTTAATGATTCTTTTTATTATTATTCTTTCACTTTTATCTTAGAGATGTTTCAAGAAAGACATACGTTCATTCAATCGACCACCTTTAATAACTGACTTACTTATTTTGTGTTAGTAGTAGATATGAAATACATATATTCAAGAGATCCAAAAGATAAACAATAAAAAATAATCTCTTTTTTCCATGTCCATTAGTTCCTCCCCAGAAGCAACCACAGCTGCCAGGTGCTTGCGTGTCTTTCTAAAGAAAGTCTGTATACACACATGCCTTCACATAGACACAAAAGCATGTAAGGACATACTAATGGATTTTCTTTTAAGTAAGGAAAGCAATTTGTTTGCATGACCCCTAACAATATTCATATTTTAAGTAAATGACAGCGCTTAATCTGAAGACATAGATCTGTTTTAGTCAGCTCTCAGCATCCATTGTAGGTGGTAGATATTTTCAAAGGTCCTTCAAGTGCCCCTTCATATAGCCTGCACAAATTGGCCACCTGCACAAAGGCCAGCTGAGGGGAAGAGGCAGTGCATGCAGGGGATGGTTATGGACAGTGACTTCCACTTTTTCTGTGGCTTTTCTTTTCATCCCTGCCTCTCCTGGCTTCTGTTTTATCCTCTGTGTTTTTTCCTATTTCCCCCTCCCTCCTCTGGCTGCATTTCTCTGGCCCCTGGCTCCCATGGCTGGCCTGTGGAGCTACAGAAATGATCCATCCTGGCTAGGACCTACACCGTCCCCAGCCTCTTCATTGGCACTCTGGGTAGGTATGCTCTCAGCCTGCCCTGCTGACTAGACTCTGCCAAGGACCAACCCCAGGCATCCCGACATAATGCAGTGTCGGGTTTAGCTTGAGGTGACAGCGGTGTGACTTCGTTTCTGCTACAGGGCCTGCTGCTGCCAAGCCAGACTTGATCTCAAAACTGGAACGGAGGGCTGCACCCTGGATCAAGGACCCAAATGGGCTAGAGTGGTGGAAAGATCATCCCCCAGGTAAGTCTGAACCCGCTGGGAGGCAAAACCAGGCCCTGGAGCAATGGCAAGTCACATGCCATTAGTCCAGCCATACTTACGTTGGACTGATTGTGCATCAGGCCCTGGGTAGACAAAGATGAATAAGAAACTAATCCTGCCCAAGAGTATAGAATGATCTGAGACTGTATGGAAAAACTTAGGTCCTTTCACAGCAGGAATGCTGAAGGGAACTGTGGCAGAGCTGATGGGAAGAGGTACGTGGGGTCATTATGGACATGAAGAACCAGGTGCTGTGGGTCCGTGAGGTTCTCCACCCCCTACCTTCCCTCCCATGTGCAGTTACAGCACTATTGCTCTGTGGGAAGGAGCTGTTTTTCACATTTCAATTCATAGCTTACTACTGGCCAATAGCTCCTGTGTATGCTTCTGTACCTGTCTTCTTGCTGAGGTTCACAAGACTTGCAGGTGTTTAACCTTATTTCTTTGTGGAACCTCACAAGAGGATTAAAGCCATCTGTTTATTTAATAGCTATGGTGGAGGGTGATTAATTAAGCTTGTTAATGGGCTGGTGTGTAGCTCAAGTGGTAGAGCACTGCCCAGCAAGTGTTAGGCCCTGAGTTCAAACCTTAGTACTAAAAACAAAAACAAAAAACTTGTTAGCATCTGGTACCACATGATCCCAGTGTAGCTGGGTAGATAGTGAAAGGGGGCAAGGTGAGGCTAGCAAAAGAACCCACTAGGATCAGCCACTACTCTTGGGGAGCCAGGTTGGCTTTCACAAGTAGTGATAGGGAAGGTTTTAAGTAGACGCCATCAGTGACCTCTGGAAAGCAGGGTCGTATAGTCAGCTTCTTCACTTAGCATAAGGTGTACTTACTGAATGGCGGTATCTTAGTTGGTAATATTTACTGAATGAAGGTGTCTTAGCTGGTAGCACTTACTGAATGAAGCTGTCTTGGCTGGTAGGAAACTGCAGAACTTGGGGCAGCAAACCAAGCATAATTTTATTTTCTCCAAAGGGAAAAAGAAGATGATGGCAGTAAGTGAAGCAGACATCCAGGCCTCAGCTATAGAATCTGCATTGCTTCCAGCTCCTCCTGTGGAGATGTGTACCTCCTACTGCCCTTCCAGCATGTATGAAGTAGAAGAAGACAGACCTAAGAAAGTCAAGAGGACTTACAGACCCCGTTCCATTCAGAGATCATGGTTTGGGCAGTTCCCCTGGCTAGTAATTGACCCCAAAGAGACAAAGCTTTTCTGCTCAGCTTGCAAAGAAAGACCTACTCTCCATGACAAATCATCCCGGCTAGTCCGAGGTTACACAGGGCCTTTTAAAGTGGAGACTTTAAAATACCACGAAGTCAGCAAGGCACACAAACTCTGCATCAACACGGTTGAAGTCAAAGACGACAGCCCTCAGACTACTCTAGTTCCAGAGATCTCCAGTGACCTCATGGCCAACATGGAGCATTTCTTCAATGCTGCCTACTCCATTGCATACCATTCCAGGCCCCTGAATGACTTTGAGAAGGTCCTGCAGCTCCTCCAGAGCACTGGGACCATGATCTTAGGCAAGTACCGAAATCGTACCGCATGCACTCAGTTCATCAAATACATCTCAGAAACTCTGAAGAAGGAGATCCTCAGTGATATACAGAATTCCCCATGTGTGAGCATGTTGTTGGACAGCTGCACAGACTCTTCTGACCAGGCCTGTGTGGGGATTTACATCCGCTACTTCAAGCAGATGGAGGTGAGAGAGTCATACATCACCCTGGCCCCTCTCTACAGTGAGACAGTAGATGGGTACTTTGAGACTATCATTGCTGCCTTGGATGAGCTGGACATCCCTTTCCGGAAGCCTGGCTGGGTGGTGGGCCTAGGAACTGATGGCTCTACTATGTTGAGCTACAAGGGAGGCCTCGTGGAGAAATTCCAGGAGATCATCCCCCGGCTGCTGCCTGTCCATTGTGTGGCCCATCAGCTGCACCTGGCTGTGGTGGATGCCTGTGGGAGCATCGATCTGGTAAGGAAGTGTGACCGGCACATACGAACTGTCTTCAAGTTTTATCAGTCCTCAAACAAGAGGTTGGGTGAGCTGCAGAATGGTGCAGCTCCCCTGGAGCAGGAAATCGTTCGTCTGAAGGACTTGAACGCTGTCAGGTGGGTAGCCAGCAAGAGGCGCACACTGAATGCACTCATTGTTAGCTGGCCTGCACTGGCAAGGCACCTCCAGAGTGTGGCAGAAGCTGGGGGCCAGATTGGGCACAGGGCCAAGGGCATGCTGAAGCTGATGAGGAGCTTCCATTTCATCAAGTTCTGCCACTTCCTGTTAGACTTCCTCAGTATCTTCCGGCCTTTGTCTGAGGTATGTCAGAAGGAGATCGTGCTGATCACAGAGGTGAACTCCACACTGGGGCGCGCCTACATAGCACTAGATACCCTCCGCCACCAGGCGGGGCCCAAAGAGGAAGAGTTTAATGCCAGCTTCCAGGATGGGCAGCTCCATGGCATCTTCCTGGACAAGATGGAGATGGCAGAACAGCGGTTCCAGGCAGACAGGGAAAGGACGATCCTGACTGGGGTTGAGTACCTCCAGCACAGGTTTGACACAGACCGTCCCCCACAACTCAAGAACATGGAGGTGTTTGACACCATGACCTGGCCAAGTGGGACTGAACTGGCCCGCTTTGGGAATGATGACATTCTCAGCCTTGCCAAGTATTTTGAGCTCTCCCTTCCCACAGGGTACAGTGAGGAAGCGCTACTTGAGGAGTGGCTGGGCCTGAAAGCTGCTGCCCAGAACCTTCCATTCTCTATGCTGTGTAAGAATGCCCTGACCCAACACTACCGCTTCCCCTTGCTGAGCAAGCTCATGGCTGTGGTGGTCTGCGTGCCCATCTCCACCTCCTGCTGTGAGCGGGGGTTCAAGGCCATGAACAGGATCAGGACTGATGAGAGGACTAAGCTCTCCAATGAGGTGCTCAACATGCTCATGATGACAGCAGTAAATGGTGTGGCAGTGACAGAGTATGACCCCCAGCCCGCCATTCAGCACTGGTACCTGACTTCTTCAGGCCGGCGCTTCAGCCACGTCTATGCTTGTGCCCAGGTGCCAGCCCGTTCCCATGCAAGTAAGTACAGAGGTAAAGTTCCCCGAACATGGGAGACAAAGCAGAGAACTGTATCAACCCAGTCTCATGCTGGGCTAAATGTCTGGGCAAGTCAGCCCACACAGAAGACTCGCCCCAGGAACCAAGGGCACTTCTGCAGTGCACCCAGCCATTTGTCAGGCCAGGGGGTACTGGAGAAAAGAGAGGAACCCTCAAGGAGTATGTAGCCCAACTAGAGAGACCAGACACACGGGCTTGGGGCAGCAGACTTAATATGGAAAGCATTCCGTGTTGGAACTCATCAGCCCAGGGTCCAGGTCCAGCTCTGCTGCCCAGCAAGTTCTGTGCTTGGTGCAAGTTAGTCTCCTGTGCTGTGGTTTTCATCTGCCAGTGAGTTAATACACTGAAAATTCTTAGAACAGTCTGGACAGTAAAGAAAGTAGTGCTAAAATGAAGGTTACTGCTGAAAATTAAGCTACAGGATCAGAGAGGTCAGGTGGGGCATTGTATCAAGCTTTCTCTTGCTCCTGTTCCTCCTGACTTAACTGGGGCAACAGGAGATGCAGAAAGACAAAGGACAGAAGACACACATGCATAAAGCTGGGGCCAGGTGTGCTGGGCGCTTGGATGGAGATGCACAACAGACTCATTGCTTCTTTTTTCTAATAACTCTTCTTTTACTTCACTTTTTTTCTCTATTATTCTCTTCTTTATTCTTTAAAATCTTGCTTCACTATTCTTTAAAACCTTGCTTATTTTCTATTCTTTAAAGTCTCTTGCCTTAGACCTGCTCTGTCCCATATTTTCTTTAATCTCTCTTAAAAGTCTTGGCCTTTAGACTTGCACTGTCCCATGTTCTCTCTTTAGCTTTCTTAAAGTCTTGGTGCTCAGACTTGCACTGTCCCATCAGACTTGCACTATCCCATATTTCAGCCCACCAGTCAATCAACAATTCCATCCCCCATCAAAAAACCTCCTGTCCCCCTTCAGCGAGACTTTTATATCCAGTGGTAAACAAGGAGGTGGAGCAGCAGTTCTCGGGGAGGGGCGTGACATTGTAACAAGAGAAACCTGTGTTCCTGCTTCTTTCTCTGAACATAAACAACTTAGGAAAAGCAGCTGTGCTGCATTTTGCCTTCTCGCTCTCTTCTGTGGCTGGGGCTGTGCCAAACTCAGCCTGTAAATCATTGAGCACAACTGTGCTTATGTCAAGTTCTCATAGGCTCCTCATAATCCGTTCCCCACAGGGCATCATATTCTGAGTGGGACTGGGTCAGTGAGGGGTTTCATGGGGTTAGTGAGGGTCAAGGTGGCTGTGAAGGAGGTGAGGTACAGAGAAAAGGCAGGGTGTTCCAAGCAGTGGAAGTCTCATGGAGCAGGGGAACAGCCTCCTCTCTAGGCAAGGTCTGGTGTTAGCAGCAGGCCTAAGGAGGAACTGTGTCACTCTGGAGGGAAGTAGCTGCAAACAAGAAATCCTCTTCTGCAGCCACTGAGACCAAGGAAACTGCTCTTGCTGGTGGTCCTCCAGGCTCTTCCTGCTCACTCAGCAGAGACAGAGCCATTTCCCTCTGCCCACGTCTTCTTCTAATCAGTCATCTTCCCACTGCTTCACTCTCTTTTCACTTTTAAGCCTGTGGTCTTCAGCAGTAGGACTGGGTCTCAGAGTTGACAGACTCTGCAGGAAACTGGGTAGCCTTCAAGCCTCTCTCCTATGAGATGAGAGATGAGAGAGGAGAGAAGCTTCAGTGAATGCATCTCCCACACATGAGTTGAGAGAGTTGTTCTCATTGTTCATCCCCGTGTGGCTAAGGAAGAAAAGCTGCCATCAGGTGTGCCTTCAAGCAAACTATCCTTTCCACAGGGATAATGGAACTGATACCCAGGAGGAAACAGAGACACCTGCAGGCTATATGTGATGACACTCTTCTCCCCAGGCAAGCCCTATGGATATTTGGGGCTGCATAACTCCTTGTGTTCCCCTGTGCATTGTGGGAACATGGCCTGTACCCATTGGTTGCCCACTGGAATACCAATACCATCTCCCCAGTTGTGACAATCAGAAGTGTCTCCAGATATTGCCAAATGTTTACTGCCCCCTCCACCACCTTTGAAATCCCTACCTGGGAAAAAGACTAAGCAGGGTAGGAACAGATCAGGGCCACAGGGTGCAGTACTGACCTGTCCTGGGCTATTGTCTTTAGCACACTGCCCAGCAGTGAAGCTGGATGTGGGGAGGTGCTCACCCTTTGCTTAATCTAATCGTCATTTTCTTTCCTCCTGTGCAGGCGCAGAGCTGAGGAAGGAGGGAATGGGGGCACTCCACACGTAGGGATCTATGGCCCAAGCTGCCATCACACCATCCAGAGAGCCATGGAGGTTCTGAAGGCCACGTTGTGGAGCCTCCTGAGACTCTTGTACATGAACCAGCCCAGGGGTCCTAAGGAGAGGTGGCCCAGAGAAGGCCTTGGGGACCCCTACATGGCTCCGTCCCTGCGATCATGGGGACAGGCTCTTTGCAGATTCTAGGATGCCTGGTGGGAATGTCCTGAAAGCCCAGGAAGTGAGCAGTGACAAGATGGTTGAAACAGGCCTCCCCAAGAGACAAGGCATAAGGAGGCTCACCATCTGTTGTCCAAGCCATTCTCTAAATGAGCAGTACCCCACAGCCATGAAGGTTCTTATCTCAAGTTCATTTTTAAAATGTTCCAGGAAAGAGTCCCATTATGAGAGAGTCCACCCCACACGTGCACTGGTGGCAAGAAGAATTTCCTGAAGTGGAAAAGTTGGTGTGAGCTGAAAGGTGCACCCAGCCCTCAGCATCCCTGATAGCACTGAGGTGGCAGCTTACAGGGGAAGGTCACTTATGAGAAGTGGAAGATGACTGTGCTCCAGGGACCCTGGCCTGGCTTCTCCTGTGGCAGAAGCCGGGAAACCTTGACTGAATGAAAAACAGGCATTGGAGATTTTCTCGACCACCTACAGGCCTGCCTTTAGGATGAAACAGATGAAAATCCTTTGCACAGGGCACCGGAGGAAGCTCCTAGACAGTGAGATGGTGCTTTCCCTGGAATGGAGCCCTCAGATTTGGCCACCATTGCACCAAGCCATTTCCCTAAGGAGTATGCAGGGTCAGGTTTGGAGCTGGGGACTGATTAAGCCTTTCCTCTTTTTCCATGCCTCAGTTTTCATGCAGCGGCAGCAGAGAATCCAAGCGCCTGCTAGTTCTGGGTCTGCTACAGCGTTGGTGAATGACAGCCTCACACTCCTTGAGAGGACTTCTCCCAGGCACTTAGCTGCTCCCACCCGTCTCTATCCTTAGTGGGACAGGTGTGACTTTTGCCATCTGTGTCCTATTGCAGGCAGAGGTCCTTTCCATGTGTACCATCCACAGGAGAGGCACACCTTTCTGCAGGCTGCCCTGGGATCTCTGCTTAGAATGGCAGGGCTGCTTGTCAACTGCGCCCCACCCCAGACACATGGAATCACATTCCCCCAGACAGGGCTCCATGGCTGGGGTTTCTCTGAAGCACTCACGGGAACTTCCTGCCATCCTCCAGCTGAAGATACCCATGAGGCACAGAAAGGGCCTCTGGCACTCCCAGTCCCCAGTCCCCTGCACCCCACCTGTCCCCCTCAATCTAGTGAAGCACTTTTCCATCAGGCAGCCTGGTCGCGCACATTTAGTGACTGCCCATCTGGATGGGGTGATTTGTCCAGGTTCTGCCTGCCTTAGCCCCAGGTGGGAAATAAGGAATGTTCAAGGGAAGGGCTCCTTGCCCCTGCCTCATGTTCATTTTAAACAGGCAGGAAACTTGCTTGCTGCCAGACTGCAGGCAGGCACCTGCTCTGTGCTACAGGCGCTCTCATTCACTTTTTCTAGCAGATGCTAGAAGCCGCCACGATGCTGGCACTTAGGTCCTCACCATTATGCGGACACTGGTTCCCAGCCTCAGCCTTAGCACTATTATGTACCTGTTTTCACACTCTAGCCCTGTGAAGATGTCTCCCTTCCAGCCCTGTAGGCCTGAGAGGCGAGTGAGCCCTTCCCTCTAGCTCTGGGAAGTGAACCTGGTGGAGTAAGGACCTCTCATCCACATAAGTTTCTGCAGAGTTAAAGGATTTGCCAGGTTGGATTCCAGACTGAAGTGATGTTCCAGCAAGCGCCCCTCTCGTGGTATCTTCCATCCTTTCAGAGTCTTTCGGCAAGACACCAGTCTATGTGTGATATGGGTGCAAGTAGCCATGGAGCAGTCCTGGGAGGAGGCTCCCACCTGGCAGCTGAGGTGGCTGCCAGATAGAAAAGCACTCTGCTCTCCACATCAGCACACTCTGAGGTCACTACCCGATACCGTCCTCGGTGGGGAGGAAGTTAGTTCCCTTGGAGCAGGGAACTGGAAATGTAGGCTTTTCCCTACTTCAGTTTCTGGAGGGGTTCAGCACTCTCCTCTTTGCCAGCTCAAGGCAAAGAAGAAAGAAGACAGTGACACTCTTCAGGACCCCAGGGTAGACACATGGTGAGTGCTCCTATATGAGCCTCAGTGCTGAGGCTGGCCTCTGCTTTGTTCCCAGAGGCTGGCTGGGTTTCAGATAGGCAGGATCTGATATGCAGGCCCATATCAGACTCCTGTTTTTGCCTCACAAGAAAACCAGCTGTAGGGCATTGTGAGAAGAAGCACTTTCCCTTTGGCTAGAGTCCTGGCCATTGTTTCCATCTCCTTCCCTACCTGTAATCTTTTTTGTTTGTTGAGACAAGGTCTTGCTGTGTAGCCCAGGGTGGTCTGGAATTCATAATCATCCTGCTCAGCCTCCTAAGTGCTGGTATTTCAGACCTGCACCACCTGCAATCTTGACAGCATCTCCACGTACACATTCTGGCACTCGTCCTATCCCTTCCCTGATGACTAATGCCCACTGGGGCTGATATCCCAGATAACCAGCTTTGTATCTGCACTTTGATATGAATAGCCTTAGAGACTTGGGGAATGAGGAACTCAGATCCTGTCCAGTCAGATACCGTAGAATGTAGCCGACTCCAGATTTTGGCTTCTCTGCCCCGTAAAGGGCAAATCCCTAAGGTGCTAAGTGCGGGATCAGGACAGAATAGAGGTCACCAGTTCCCTTCCACAGGTGTCCTTATCCTTGTAGCCAAAAGTACCAAGGGTGACTGGCCAGGGACATCCTGGCTTCTGGTTTTTACAGTGTGTGATGGGGTTTAAAAAAGCATGTCTGATTCTTAACTTTTTGCTATCTGAATAAAGCAGAGTTTATTTCAAATGTGCACATGTCCTGTAAGTACATCCCTAAGCAAACCAGGTATGGGAGAAGCTGGTCAAGGCTAGCAAGATCATCCCTCTTTGAAGAAGGGACAGCCCAGAGCAGAGGTGAGCTGAGGATATGTGTGTACCTGTTATCTTTGGATTTCTTACCTCTCTTGATTCAAGTATACTGAGTTGTTTGATCAACAAGACTAAGGTGGAGATGAGAGGCAAAGGTTTCATTTCTAAGAGTTGTAATTAAGTGTTCCATACCTGTTTTATTTAGCAATTCATAGCTGACAAAGTGCTTTCATGGACTTTACGGTTTACTCAACAATACCTGAGGGCTGGGCTCTCAGAATGCTTTCTGCAGCTCTGTTCAGAAGGCCAGCTGTCCTCAGCTGGCTGCCTCTGGCGGGATGGAGGAAAGGTGTATGGATGTTGGGGTACAACCAAATCTCTGTTCAGGAGAATCATCTCATCTGAGGGTGCCTAGTTTTGTTTTGTTTTTTTTAAGACACTTAAAAAAAACCGCCTGAAGCCAAAGGCAAACTTGATGGTGTTCCTTCCTTTCAGCAAGGAAGCAGCCCACAGTGGACAGTGCAGGCATCTCCTGCCCCACCTCAGGGGCTCTGCTTGGGGCAAATGGACTTAGCCTGGGAATCATGAGGCTGGCCAGTCTCCCACTTGGGTGGATTTTTTTTTCTTAGCAGGGCAGCTCCCAGGGAAGGCAGCACCTGGCAGACACTAGGCCATCTCTTCACCACTTTTGCTGGGAGGTGAGGGATGTGAGCTGAGGCCTGGAAGCTGCTGTGCCTCTGCATTTCTTTACAAGTGTGAGTGACACCCTCTGCTAGAGGAGGAGTGCTGTCCACACATGGCAGCAAAGGGCCTCCCAGCAGCAGTTTTTGAGTGTTATGATACATGCTTAGGCTTCTTTTTTACTTTTTCTTTCTTTCTTTCTTTCTTTTTTTTTGTGGTACTGATGGTTGAATTAGGGCCTAATTCTTGATAGGCAGCCACTCTACCACTTGAGCCACACCCCCTGGCCATTTTGTTTTTAGTTTGAGGTCTTGTGTTACTTTGCCCAGACTAGTCTTGGACCATAACCCTTTGCCTCCTGAGTTGTTGGGACCACAGGTATGCACCATCCTATTTGGCTGGTTTGTTGAAAAGAGATCTCACTAACTTTTTGCCTGGGCTGACCTTGAACTGCTATCCTCCTGCCTCTACCTCCCAAGTAGCTGGGATTACACGTGTGAATCACCTACAATTAGGTTACTTGGTGACTGAGAGACTGTCTTTGTTTTTGGTGTGCTCACCCTACATCTCTCCTGGGCTTTCCTTTGCTGTCTGAGGTCCCGGTAGATGGAAAGTCTTTGTCAAGCTGAGATACTTAAAGGGCCTCTTCACAGATGGTCAGAGCTGTTTGGCTCTTGAAGTGCTCATCACTCTCTGCACAGGTTGGGTGGCTTATTCAGGGGAATCCACATGGCCTGGGTGTTCCTGGGGCAACTCTAGCCTTGAAGTATTTCAACTCACAGAAGCCTGAAGAATTATTTAGTGAATTCCTGGTTGTCTCCAGGCATCTTCAGTCTCATTTTGGACATTGTTATCAAACACTGTGAGAAGATAGCTCAGATGTAGTCTAGCAACAAGGACATACTGCTTTCGTTCAGTATTACCCACTCATCCTACAGTTCCCATAAGATCACTTCTGAAGATGTCATGCCTGGGGCCCTGGATCTGAAAACACTGAAGTCCCAGAGCCCAGTGATGCCCAGAGCAGGAAGAGTGATGCTCTTCCTGCTGTCATTGCACCACCTTGAAGGAGCTGTTCCAAGCCAGGGTGTCTGGCTTCCACTGCCACTTTAATAACTCACTATAGCAGCCTCTACCAGATAGTGGGCCTGTGGAGCCTTCTATAGGTAAGTCAGAAAGTGTTTCTATGACAAATGTCACAGAGTCTCCTATGAAGACAGACAGGCGGCTGTTCCTGACCCTTCACTCTTGGTTGCCAGGTTCAGTGAACGAGGCTAAATACCTGTGTAGGTGAGCATGCCATGAGATTTCCCTGAGAGGTCTACCACTTCATCCCTCCTGCTGCATTCTACCATAAAGTCCATCCTTTGCCCTCCCTCTTCCTACAGAGAATCAAAACAAGGACAGTGGACGGCTGGGGGTGTGGCTCAAGTGGTAGAGAACCTGCCTAGCAAGTGCAAGGCTCTGAGTTCAAACCCCAGTACTGCCAAAAAAAAAGTAAAACAAGGACAGTGGAGGTTTGCAGAAAATAGCTTGGGTGTTAGGGGCTGTGAGACAGTGTGTTAGAATAATATCTGCCATGGCTGCTAGACATTCACTTCTGCAAAAGTTCAAAGTAGATGTGAGCTGATGGCCTGGCCCTCACTCCTGCCAGATTGTGTCCCTTCAATAATTGACCTTGAGAGTTTCTAAGCCTTGCTGTGTTGCTCACAGGTTACCCCCACTTCCATCCTAGAGGGGAAATAGTACAGAAGTGCAGAAGGGGTGCCAATTGGCCAACTGATTAGAGCCAATGGTTACCAAGGCTAAATAAATGTGGTGAGCCCCGTGCAGGAGTTTTAAGAGATGTTGCAGCAAGCCTTGCCAGGTTGAGATAACTTTGGGCTCTTTTCCCCTTTCAAGTGTACAAACCACTTCTGCTTTGCAGCAACCTGCACAATACAGAGACGGCTAGTTGTCCTAAACCTGCACACATGTGCTTGCGAACCTGTGTAAGACTTGAAGTCTGATTTGAAATGCCTGGGGCTCCCCCCATCTGGCAGGAGTGGCTTATAAACTTAAAGAGGGCTCCAGAAACACACAGGGCCTTGTAACAAGGACTAATGAAGTTTATTCCAGGCAATTTAAGGAGTTCCAGGAGCTGGATAAAACAGTGTTAGTTTTTTTACTTCCACAGTCTTCAGGAAAACAGACTCAATGAGTGACAAGAGATCGTCATGCTCTGAACATAGGTCTTCTTGACTCTACCAGCTCAGGATCCCCAGTTAGATAGCAAGCAAGCAAGCCAGGGGCCGATGCCCTCACCCAGGGAGCCCCCACTTGTTCCTTCTCATCCTGTTACGTTCCTCTGCTCCTCAGCTGGGGCCACCTGCTCTCAGTGAGGTGTATGTGGCCACATTCGTAAATAACATGAGGCCTTACCTTCAAAGACAGACATCCGGAATTCTGTCCCCAATAGAATTCCCCTGTGTCTACTGAGAAGTATTAGGACATGTCTATGGTGCTGAGGTTTGATTTCCGATATCCTCACAGTACTCTGGGGCTCCTGTTCATCTACACAGTAGGTGACATTTTATTTATTTTTTATTTTTATTTTTTAAATATGAAATGAGTTCTAATTGATTAATTCAAATATTTCATGCGCTGAAACAGTAAAGAACTTTAAAACCATACAACACATTAAATTCTAAACTATTTTGGCACTGGGGAGATGAGAATGTACCTAAATTTATACATGAGTGCAACCTGAAATGTGGGCGAAGTACTCTCTCATCAACTGCATGCACCAACATGAGGCAGTGATTAACTAACACAGTCGGTGACATTTTAAAGAACACTTCTCAGTGCTCCTTCGGCTTCTGCCCTTTCTAGGAGTTCATGGGTCTCCAAATCTATGGAAAAACATGATGTCACCAACATCAGGACCCCATTCCCTGGGCGATGCTGTGGAAACTGGTCAGTGTGAGCCAATGTCAAACTAGTGGGATCCACAGCCACACATCAGGGGTCTGATCACATTGCCTCTGCCTCACAAAAATAGTGCCTGGGACAACAAGAGCTCCTGGGGAAGCTTTAGTGGACGTGGTTGGGAAAGAGAAGCCTTGGACTCGGGTTCTAGTTCTCTTATGGATGAACTGTGCGGCCTTAGCTAGTTTACTTCAACATGACGGGCCTTACTTTTATCAACTGCAAAGCAAATGGATTGCCTTAGCATCTAAGATCCCTTTCTGTGAAATAAATATGTGGTACTGTGGAACTGTATTTTGAGAGGCTGTTTAATCAGGTGAACAGTTTTCCCCTAGAAGTGAAGCACCAGCACAAAGGTACCACATCATTAAGTCATGTTCTAGGAATAGCAGGAGTTGGAGATGCAGATGAGGACAGGAAAGAAACACTGTAGACCAGTAAAGGAACAGAGAGTAGAGGTTTCAGGCACTTAAATTGAGCTGCTATTTAAACTGAGCACTGCCTATGGTTCCAGCCAAAGCCAAGGCAAAAAAGGAAATATAGCTCACCACATGTTTATCATTTTTATAGAGAAATATTCGTGTCAAACAAAATTCGGGGAAGTAGGTATTTTTGAGCTACAAAGATGAGCCTTTGTGGTGATTTTTGTGAATGGCTGTAGGACCAGCCTGTTTCATTACATCCCATGGATGCCAGTGCACCCCTATCCTGGACCAACGTTCTCAATGGTGTACACTCTTGATGGGAAGCCTAGCCATTCTTTACAATCCAGCTAAATCTCGCTTCCTCTAGGGAGACTTCTCTAATTGCTCCATCCTCTGAATTCTCACAATGAACATTGACTATATTGATCACAAAGCTTTTAAACCAATCTGACCAGATTATGGTTTTACCATGTGAGTCCTAAAAATAGAAGCTGCTAGAAGGCTAGGGTGACATTTTATAGCTCTTGTGAACCACCCCTTGCCATCTCCAACTTGCATGAATGTTGAAAGAATGAATAAGGAAGTCTCAATTAGAGAATGGGGACGATAGACGTGAGCACTCCCAGCTATAAGCACACATGTGTGGCAGGGGTCAATACAATGACAGTACAAAGACAGGCACCTTCTGCATGGCATGAGGCTTGCTTCATTCCCCTTGCTATGCAACCACTGAAGCCAAGGAATATACGTGGCTGGTTGCTTGGGGCAGAATCTGCTGCTAGGGATGCCTCCTAGAGCCACTGGTCTCTATAGAAGATAGAGATTAATAGATCCCACTGATATCCGCAAAAGAGGGATGTGTAAGACCCAAAAGCCCAAAGAGGAAACCAGGTTCTGAGGTTCCTTCCAACCCTGATGGAAGAAACTCTCGAGCCTTGTACTGCCCTCCGTGCTTTTCACATGCTTATTTCGATTAATCCTCCAGCAACCAATTGCCATTCCCATTTTATATTTAACCAATCTGTCACCGCTGTTTTTGCAAGAGAGGAGTCAGGGATCCAATCCTGAAGTCCCTGCTGGGTTTGGTGCAGCTTGGTGCCAGGAGAGGGCGCCGCAGTGCCAGCCCTGGGACCGCCAATCCTGCTTTCAACTCGGACACACTTAGCCCAACCCACCGAGCCCACGAGACCCGGCGAAATCTCAGTCCTCCCCCAACTGTCTTCTGCTCCGGCCCGGGGCCCTACGTGAACCCGAGAGCGTCATGGTCGCTCCCAGCCCCAGTGTTCCGGCCGCCCCTGGGAGTGGGGAGCCCTTTGGTTGTCGGGACACGCGACATGCTCTCTGGCCGGCGTGGCGCAGCGTGTGACGGGGCAGGAGACGGCCTCGGGATGGGCCCCAGAGCTCCAGGGGTCTTTGAGAGTAAGAAAAGAGAGTTCAACAGGCGATGACGATGCCTACCAAGGAGACCCAGTCCTGGAACCTTCATAATAAGCGAATCCTCCAACAGCGCATTTCTTTCGGTCCGCTGCCCGACTCAGCCAATCAGGGGGTGGACTCCTCAGAAAGCCCGCCCTTACTCCTGAGTGACATCTTGGTGGGCCATCTGGGTTCCCACTGGGCGGGTGAAGAGACGCGCGTGCGCAGATTGGCCTGGCCGAGCGCTCCGGCGCTCACGACCCGTTGCGCATGCTCGCTTCCACTGTCCAGCTGGGACCAGCTTCTGTAGCATCTGCTGCTCCGCCCTTCATCCCGCCTGGGCATCCAGCGCACTGCCATGACCGCTCACTCCTTTGCCCTCCCGGTCATCATCTTCACCACGTTCTGGGGTCTCATCGGCATCGCCGGGCCCTGGTTTGTGCCAAAGGGACCCAATCGCGGGTAAGGAAGATGCACAGGCCCTGGTTCCCTGCGGACCTGTCGTGTTCCGTGCGGCCGCTTGCTGCCCTGCACCGGCGCCCACACCCGGGGCGCCCCCTCTGTGGTCTCTCCACCTGGGCAGCGTTCAGCTCGGGAACAGGCAAGAGGCTGGGGCAAAAGGGCAGATACAGAGGTGAGAGACAGGTGACGTCGTAGGTGGTTAAGTGTCAGCCCCTGCTGCAGCCGGCAAAGGGCACGGATGGGCGCTGACGCAGTTTCTTCAGTCCTTGCCAGCTGTGTGACTGAACAAATGTCAGGCCTGTTTTTTACAGGTAAAATGGGGACGATGACGACCCTGCCTTATAACTTGCCGTGAGGATTACCCGAAATACTGCACTTGAAATACTTGCAAGTGCCAGGCACATTTTGTGTACTGGATAATTTCAGCTGGTGTCATTTTTGCAAGGTTGCCTAGTAGATTTCTGCACCATTCATCACTTTCTGTTTCATCTTATCCACAGTTGTAAAATGTCCTCCTTTTGCCCACAAGTTCATTGTTTTACTCAGCGCTGTCTACCCAGGACTGGTTTAAGCTGCTTAGTAATGTTGAAAAGAGGGGTCAAGTGTTAATCTTTCCAGCACCAACTTGAATTGCTTTAAGTGAAAGGTTGTAGGTCTTGCTTTGATTAGGTTTAGCTTTGGCTGGAGGCTTGGACGGGTGGATGTTGCCTTTGTTCTTAAAAATCCGCAGGACACCCAGGTCACAAAACTTCACTTTGTAAACCATTTTAGTATCACCGATCTTGCAACTCTTGGTGAGTTCTTTCTTCAGTCTAACTGGTGTCTCTCCTATTGCATTGTAAGCTTCTGTCTTTGGTTGTCTCTGAGTGGGCATAAAATAACTGTTCTCTACATAACACTCAGCCTCCAGAAATGGTTCATAGTCTCCTTACTTCTTTCCTGTCTTCTGGTGTATTGTTTCTTTTTCCCCTTTGCCCAGTGAATTTGAATTCTGAGCCACTTCATGGTAGACTGCCTCAAATGCAGCTTGGGCAGAGCCTTTTCCCTAATATGTCTGCATTAAGATGGAGAAATGTTGGAGATGAAGGGAAGGATTCAAAATGTAGCCTGGATGTGAGCAAAGTAGCCTACACGAGGCAACCCTTAAAGTTCTTATTCTCCGTCTTTCAATTCTTAACCCGAGTAGACCTTAGCCTACTGTGTCCAGCAAATCAGGAAGGCCAGTGGGAATAGAGCCACACCAGGAGCTCTTTTTCTGGCCCTGGCCAGAACCAAGCTTTCTGAGCATGCTGGTTCCACTGTCCTGACCTGTGTCCTCTTCTGTTGCAGAGTGATCATTACCATGCTGGTGGCCACTGCTGTCTGCTGCTACCTCTTGTAAGTACTGCTCTTCCCAGTTTTGTCCTCCCTGCCTCTGCCTTGCCCTGGTCTGCTTGACTCTCCTTCAGGCTGAATCTATAATGCACAGGAGTGGAGGCTGTTTATGGGGGAGAGGGCTAAGGGGGGAGGGCAGGGGAGACAGTCATGAACTCTGGCTCTGGTCCTGGCTTTGCCATCCAAGTGTCAGCTACATGAGCTTTTTCATACCCATGGGCTGAGTTTTCTCACCTGTCAAATGAATGCACTGGGACAACTCAGTGGTGTCTTTGTCTGACTCGGCATGAACACTGCCTAGTCAATGGTTCAGAGACAGCTTTAGGACTCCTCCCTAAACCCAGTAGAGCATAGCCCTAATGTCGGCGCCTGGGAATCATATTTTTGATAAGGTCCCCAGGTGACTGGAATATAGCCAGAGTAGAACCATTAGGCAAGAGCAACTTCTTCAAACTTGGGAAAGGTACCCAGGGGATACAATGTTCAAAGGGATGCAAGGACCTGGACAATATCAGAGAATCAACCCCTGACTCTCAAAGCCTATGCCATTCTTATTAGCCCATCCATCTTTATAAAAGCAGAAAGTCTCCCCACCACTAACTCCATCTAGCCCAATCCTACTGCATTTCCTTGCTCCTTGTTTAAATCATCTTGGCTGCTCAAACAAGGGATAAGTTTAAGTTCTAACCTCTTCTCATAGTTAAGCAAGCCTCATGAAGCTCATAGGGTTTCCATCTTCCTGTGCCTTATATGTTACTTTTATGGGTTAAGCTTGGCATAGTTGGGTGTTCGAAATTCAGAATAATCCAAACAAGACAGGTGAAGTGAGGAGATACTGATTCTTCCACAGGTAACAGATTCTTTAATAAAAAGCCACCAGGGCTAGGGGTGAAACTCAGTGGTAAAGCATGTGTGAGACCCTGGGGTCAATTCTCTGCACCGAAATAAATAAATAAAATAAATAAGCAAATGCTGTATTTTCCAGGTCTGTCAATTTTTTCAAAATATATAGGACAAAACTGACATTTAAAAAATTTGATTGATCTCAGATTTGTTGTATGTTATTGTAGTTAAAACCTGTTTCATCTGATTAGGTCATGAACTGTTTAGTCCTATTAGTTAATTCTCTTACTTTACCTTATGTAATGGTTAATATTTCCTATCTCTTACTCACACACACACAAAAAATTTTTTTGTTAAAAGTAATGCTGATTGCTGGGCACCAGTGGTTTAAGCCTGTAATCCTAGCTGCTCAGGAGGCAGAGATCAGGAGGATTGTGGTTCGAAGCCAGCCCAGGCAAACAGTTAGTGAGACCCTATCTTGAAAAAAAAAAAAAATCACAAAAATGGGCTGTTGGGTGGCTCAAGATGTAGGACCTGAATTCAAGCCCCAGTACCACAAAAAGAAAATAATAATGTTGACAAGTGTGAGGCCCTGAATTCAAACTTCAGTAAGACCAGAAAAGAAAAGAAATTAATAATGTTGAGTCTTAAATGTTTACCTAAATACATGGATCACATGTTTTTTTTCAGAATTCTCCCTGGACGGAGCATCTCTAAGGCCCTTCTTTTATGCTTTCTTAGTCCTTTAGGGCTAGGGCTTGGCAAAATGTTCATCTGCCCCGGCAAGGGCCTCAGAGGATCTTGGATTTGTTGGCTCAGAGACCAGGATATAAAGGATGGTGGCAAGGAGGATGGGGAGACAGTATATAGAAGATGTGCAATAATTACAAATACTGAATCGGTCCATAGGAAACAGAAAACAGGTCACAGATTAGATATATACACACAGAAAGATGGGATCATTTTGAGAAAATGCCACACCTAGAAATTATACTTACAATAATACTATATAGTGATAAGCTTTCCGATGGTGCGCTCCCGGGCTGCACTGGGGATTTAGGGGTGAGAAGATAGATCCTTCCTGTACAAGCAGACAGCACTGTTAACATGAGCGTGTGAGGCACTTTCAGAGTCTCCGTGGCCTCCTACTCTGGGCAAACAAAGTGGGGTTTCTCATGAAGGATGGGCCGGACGTCACCCAAACACACAGCTGCAGATTGGGCATGGTCAGATCCCCGCATAGCTCAGGGGCCTAAAGGACAGGTGACTCAGCTACAGCTGGGCACCAGGCTTTCTGCTCCCCAACTCCTCCTACAAGAAAGTGATTCTGGGTTGGGGTGTCGCTCAGTAGTATAGCATTTACCTAGCATAGTGAGACCTTGGCTTCCTTCCCCAGCACAGCACACCCCAAAAATGGTGATTCTGGCACACCTCCTCCCAGGCCAGCGCTGCTATGTCCATTGTGTGTGCAGATTGGGAGTGGCTCACAAAGACACCTGGAAGCTGCCTCACCTCTTCCCTAATTCAGCCCCAAAACAGGGACTTTACAGATCTACAGAAAATAAAATCAAAATCCATAAACTCCTGTGCTGGGCATTGGTGGCTCACGCCTGTAATCCTAGCTATTCAGGAGGCAGAGATCAGAAAGATTGAGGTTCAAAGCCAGCACCGAGCAAATAGTTTGTGAGACCCTATCTCAAAAAAATCCATCACACAAAAAGAAGGGCTAGTGGAGTGGCTCAAGGTGAAGGCCCTGAGTTCAATCCCCAGTACTGCAGGGGAAAAACAAAATCCACAAACTCCAAACCAGTGCCCTATGCCTGCTAGCATGTGGGTGGTTCCCTGGGACCCTTCATTCCTAAGGACACAGGCCCTCTGGGTTTGCTGCATGTTCCATAGGAGAGAAGAATGAGCAAGGCCTCCCTTAGCATGTGGGATGGGTCCCTTGGGCATCTAGCCCGCCTCACTCTTCTGTCCCTGGCAGCTGGCTCATAGCCATCCTGGCCCAGCTGAACCCCCTGTTTGGACCCCAGCTGAAGAATGAGACCATCTGGTATGTGCGCTTCCTGTGGGAGTGACCATCCGGCTTCTGGCCCCAGGTACAAGGAGGGTGACAGGTATGGGAGCCAGGGGCCCTGTGTATGGAGAGGAAAGGAAAGACAGGGCTGAGGAAGAGTTTTCCTTTGGATTCAGGAATTCATTTGTTTAGCAAAGGGAAAAAAAGGCTGAGTACCAGCTCCCTGCCTGCATTGTACCAGCCACCAGGAGAGATAAAGACTGGCTCTTCTAATCCCTGTCCTGGCTGTAGGATTGCCAGGCTAAGTGGTAGCAATTGAAACAGAATCTGTTCCAAATTGGGTATGGCTAAGGTCCAAGGGTAGTGAGATCCCAGCCTGGAAAAGACATGAGGGTGGCAAGGCCAAGAAGGTTCTCAGAGAGTAGGGGAGAATGGGGTCTCCATGGCAAGGTAGTGACCCTTAATGTGATGTGCTTTTCAGGTGTCCTGTTCTCTGATGGTCTTGGCTTAACATCCCTGATGACCTTTTATCCCCACCTGCCTGACACAGCTTTTCTGGGCCCTCTGAACTCTCTCCTGCCAGCACCTTGAGATCCACGCCTCCAGGACCCTCCTGGTTGGAGGATACCCCATCTTCCCAGCCAGTGAGAAAAGCTCTGAGCTCAAAGTTAGGCTGGAAAAGGGAATATCCTGCCTGTAAAGTCTCACTTCTCTGGAGTTTTCTGTCTCTCTCTCAAGCAGATCCTGGCCGAGGAACTGGTACTGTGCGATCTGTCTTTGAACGTGTGGCAGAAGCCAGGACTCGTGGTAGTCCCAGAAAAGACAGGCATCTTTTGGAGAAGGAGAACCAGTCCAGGATGCACTGAGTTCCAGGCTGTGTCAGGCCAGTTTTGAGCTCTGTCCCCATCCTGCTGTGAGATGCAGGGGCCTCTCGGGGCCTTTTCCAACTGTGACCAAGCATTATTCCTTAATCTTCCTATACTACTAGATGTGAAATTTCTGAAAATATTGAAATAATGAGAAACATTCATGCCAAAAACTTGACAGAGTGCTCTGGGTCAAGATTGAAACCTAGATGTTCAGTATCCTTTGTTGTAGCAAAGTCACTTGATGCTTGCTTAGATGTTCTTTTCCCCCTTCCTCCGTACCTGGGCCTCCACTCTGTAGATAAACTCTCACCCCCTCCCCAGAGCCTATCAGTCTGAGCACAGCCCCTGCCTTGGGAAGCCTGCACTCTTCATTAGGCTGCAGTGGGGCAGATCCCAGGGCTACTCACAGCAGCATCTCAGCGACCCAGAGTTGGGATTAGGAGAGACAGGGAAGGTGATGTTTGAGTTGCATTGGCCTCCCCTGGCTTCTGAGACTGGCACTAGCCAGGCCTCTGCCCCTCAAGTGCACCCAGCTTTGTGTTGGGGATGATGAGAGACAGAGAAGCACAGATCATACACAGAAGACAAGGGGGAGCCTGAGCTCTGTGCTCTTCTTCTCCAGGAGAGTAAGTGGGGACCTGGCACTCTTGCCCGAGCTTCCAGAGCTAGTTAGTTCAGAGCTCATCCACCTTCCCTGGTTCTTGGCCAGCAGCCCATCCACATTGCCTCTTCATGGGAAGAAAAGCCAGCCTTGCTTATTTATTGACTATTTATTTGGCATTCCTTCCTTTGTAGCAGGCAACGTTTTTTGAGCTGCAGTGGACCATGTTGCATCTCACTCAGACTCTGTGGCTCTGGTCCTGCCAGTTGCTCAGAGCTCAGGTTGAGGCCTCCCATGGATACCCCCACTCCCTTCCCTGAACTCTCAGCCTTCCTGTGGGGTGTAGTATGGTAAGCATGACTTGTACTGAAAACCTGGTTCTTGTTTAATAAATAAATAATGATGATGCAAGATTATGATTTGGTAGCCAAACTCCAGTCTCTACCAAGTTTTCTGGCTGCCACTCCCTGCCCACCTGGTTTCCATTTTTTCATCTGTGGATCTGGGGAACAGCTGACAACTTGATGCCCTCAAAGTTGCACTTCTGGGACATGGACATTGAGGATCACACTTTCCTGAGACATGGAGGAAAATCTGGGCCTCTGATAACAGTCCCAGATTTGGCCAGAACTGGACCCACTAGAAGGAGGAAGACCAGTGCTTGCTCACATAGCACTTTGACCACCACTTTTCTGCCCAAATCAGAGGACAGAGTGCATGCTCCTGGGCTATGCAATAAAGCAAGTCTTCAGTGTGGCCTGCCTTATTCCTAAATATTCAACAGCCGGGATCTACCTGCCTAGCTTCCTGCTTGGGGCCAGGAGAGGAGGAACAGAGGGCCTGTACATTATGGAAAGAACTGAAAGAAGTTTGTTGCCTGGGGACAGAAGGGTGGGAAGCACATGGGGGAAACTGAGGTGAAATGAAGTGGAAGCCGCCTTGGAGGGCCAGGAGCCAGCTTAGGGGCTTGGGTTGATCCTAACAGCAATGGGAAGCCACAAAAGGATTTTAAAGCCAGGAAGTGATGTGAACCAACTTGATTTCTAGAATTCTCTGTACAGGTTGTTCAGTGAACAAGAGACTGGTTGAATAGAGATCAGGTGGAAGTGGCAAGGACAGAACAGTGGGTGGGAGCTGCATGTGAAAGCCAGAGGAAAGCAGGGCCTAATCTGCATGCACTGTGACCCAGACTGCTCTGGACAGAAGGGACCCATGGTGAATGTGGAGGCTGAATCCCTGGCTAACTAGGATAGCTCAGTGCCTAGCACAGAGCAGTATCTTGGGGAGGGATGTAATGAGTTAGGGTTTTCCTTTGACTCTTGCTGAGTCCAAATCTCCAGAAGTGGTTGGATGGGTGGGCTGGAGATGCAGGTGTGGAGTCATCAGCAAAAGTAACTAATGACCCATTGAAGGACAGACTGCGGGAGGTCAAGGAGACACTTCTCCACCCTAGGAAATGCCTGTTTGCTTCTGAAAGGCATCTCCACCACCAGGCAATGCAAAAAGGCTATGAAACTCCACTCCCCACCCCAACCCACAGGATCACTGGTTTCCGGGTCCCCCTGCATTCCCCAATATGCAGTCTTTCTCTTCTCTTTTCTCCAACTAAATTCTCTGCAAATAAAATCTTTCCGACCTCTGCTGCTGGAGTCTGTCTGTGCTTTCATTCTCAGTGGGCTCAAGAACCCTGAGCACCTGAAATTCCTGCGCGTGTCATCCGTGCATCATATTTGGCAACCATGAAGGGACCAGCTGTCACCTGAGGTTGGTATAGGTTGTGCCAAACTGGGAAAGACTGCCTAGGAATGTGACCGTGAGCATCCAGCACTCCGGTGGAGTCTATTTTCTAGGAGACACCCCCTACCACGGCCTAACTATGGTGGAACTCTCAGGTCGACCTTTTCTCCCTCTCTCTGTGTCTTGTTAAGGAGGGGTTTCTTCCTTGGGAGACTGAGGAAAAGCTCCAAACCCACTACAGCTGTACGGCAGGCAATCTGAGGAAACTCGGACACCAGGTGGGGGATTATGCCATACTGCCAATGCTACATGGGCGGAACCTGACTTCAGTGCATCGAGGCTTTTTCTTTTTTCCTCTCCTTAAATGCTAACTCTCTTTCAAGATCTGACTAACTTAAGGGAAGGTCCGAAAACAGCTGGTGGAAAGGAAAGTTTGTCTTCAAGCCACAAAAGGTGTTCTGGCTGGGGCACTCCCTGGTGTCACCCAAAGGCTGAAGACACAACTTTCTGACCTGCCCTGAGGCTCCAAAGGCGGCTAAGTCTCGGGCCCCTCCAGCCATGTCTGTGGCAAACAGACAATCAAATCTCTCATGCTTTCTTCATGGTTTCCGTGGCCTGAGAGTGGAGGTCACCCCTTGCTTCCAGTGCTCCAGTACTGCCCTTGGACAGGATCGACCTGGACAGCAGAGATGATCAATAATCCCTCATGTGTTGAGCCTGGAAACTCTCTTTTCCCCCAACCCTCAGCCTCTCCTTCCCCTTTCCCAGGCAGTTCAGGATGAGTGTCCTCCTCCCCACTTTGCTCTAAACCACAGTGAGCTTCTTTCTTCAGGGAGTTTGGGAAGAATCCCTACAGGCACCAGAAAGTGTTAGTCTCTAATTTAGGTTTAACTGTCTTTGTCAAGAATCAGGTTAACTGGTTAAACAGGTTCCGCAGCCTGCCCTCAGGGAAAGAAAAAAAAAAAAGTTAAAAGGCAAAAACCTCAGGTCTCCGTTTTTGCCCCTTACTGGAGCAAAAGCCTCCAGATGCTCTCGCTCTCTCTCTTTTCATAAAAAGCATATATGCCTCACAGGATATAGATATAGGTGGACAAAAGTCTACTTCATCAGAAGTCCCCATCCATGCCTCTAAAGGGGTCCCCCTTCTGGCCATGCAAGCCCTCTTGGTTACTCTGATAGAGTTATTTATTTATTTACTTTTTAATTACAAGCGTTCAGCTGGTAGAGGAGAACCAGGCCTACTTGGGTCGCAGGGCAAATAGGAAAGTCAAAATAGATGAGAGATTGGTCACCCACTCAGGGGGGTGGGTGCAACTGAGATATCTGTAAATCCTCCACAGCTTTACCCACAATTGGCAGTGGCAGGAGCAAGGGAGAGCGGGACGCCCTCTCCCACTAGAGTTTCTCCTCATCTGGGGACGCCTAGATAAAAGGAGAAACCTCTGTTAAGGTGACCAATTTTCCCTTGTTTCCCTTTTTTAGATGGGGAATCAAGCCTCAAGGATCCAGGAAGGATCTCTCCTTGCCTGCTTATTAAAACTTTGGAAAGATCTTGATCCAGAAAGTCTTCAGCAAAAGCGACTCAAGTTTTACTGCACCCAGGCTTGGCTACAGCATCCTCTGGGAGATGAGGAAAAATGGCCAGAAAGAGGGAGCATTAATTATAATATCATTCTTCAATTAGATACATTCTGTAAAAAGGAGGGAAAGTGGACAGAAGTTCCATATGTTCAACTGTTCTTTTTCCTAAGAGACCACCCAGAATGGCTAAACAAATGCAGGTTAGATACCCAGACCATGGTAACCCTTTGCAAAAAAAAACCCCAAACTCCCTTGAGCCAAAAAACCCATCAGCACCCCCTCTTCCCCCTTACCCAGCCACCTCACACACTAGACGTTCTCCCACAGGACTGTACCCCCTCCAGTTAATTTCTGGAGGAGACAGAGCTCACGTTCCTTTTAGAGTGAGTGAACTTAAAGAAATAAAAAAGGATTTAGGAAATTACACAGAAAATCCATTTAGAGAAGTCAGCCAAAACTTTGAACTGAGCTGGAAAGATGTAATGCTGTTGCTATCTCAGAACCTCACTTCTCTGAGAAACAGTGGGTTCGAGATCAGGCAGTCACAGCTGGAGACAATTATCACTTAGATAAAAGTGGCCCTAAAGCCCTGTCTCTCACCGGAGGAGGAGGGGGAGGGAGAAGAAAGACAAAGACACTGGATACCTAAAAGGGAACCTCAATTTCCAATTCCAACAGGAGGTCAGGCAGTACCTAGGTATGACCCTAAGTGGGACCCTGAAAATGACAAGGGTGAATGGAGTCGTAACCATTTCATCCACTGCATTCTTGAGGGTCTAAGGAGAGCCAAGGTAAAACTTCTTAATTACTCCCAAGTCATGGCTGTACAGCAAGGACCCTTGGAAACTCCAGTAGTTTTCCTACAGAGACTTAAGGATGCTTTACAAGAGCATACCAACGTTGTACCGGAGTCACAGGAAGAGGAAATCATCCTAAAAGATAAATTTCTAACACAGTCAGCACCAGATATTCATAAAAAGCTTCAGAAACTGGTGGCTGAAGAGAACAGAGATCTGGACCAATTGGTCCATGTAGCCATGTCTGCATACTATAACAGGGACTTAGAAAAAGAAAGGAAGGACCTGGAAAAGGAAGAGAAAGGATAATCGGCAGGAGGCTCTGATCACAGCGCTCAGGGAGGCTCCCCTGGGACAAAGTCCAAACCCCAGGACATGCTTTCAATGTGGACAGGCAGGCCATTTTAGGAGGGAGTGCCCCCGGAGAAAGCCACCTCTGGGACCCTGCCTCATTTGTCAGGGAAAACATTGGAAGGCACACTGTCCCTGGTTCCCAGGGGAACCCAGGCCAGAGCCTCCCACCCAATGACTGGTCCCTGGGCCTCTCATCCAGGCTCTGTAACCACCATAAAAGCAGGGGACCCTGGGTTAAGCACAAGGTCAGCCTCCTTATCAATACTGGAGCCAGCATCTCAGCTATTCCTTTCTCTCCCGGACCCAGGTCCTGCAAGAAAATTACTGTTCGAGGCATATCAGGCCAGCCTCCAGAGCGTTATTTCACTCAGCCTTTAGCCTGCTCCTGGGGAGATTTCCATTTCTGTCACTCCTTTTTAATTGTCCCAGAAGCCCCTACTCCTCTGCTAGGGTGAGACATTCTATCTAAATTGGGGGTACAGCTCCTTTTACCCTCAGGAGAGTACTTTTGCTTGCCCCTAATAGAGGAACAAGTAGACCCCACAGTGTGGATGGATGGGCACACTGTGGGATGGGCATGAACAGCTGTCCCAGCCCTCATTCATCTCAAGGACCCCTCCTGGTTTCCCCATCAAAAACAATATCCTTTAAAGCCAGATGTTAAGGAGGGGCTAATTCCCATAATCAAAGACTTAAAGAGACAGGGACTGCTAATAGAATGCTCCAGCCCATATAATACTCCTATTCTCGGTGTCAGGAAGGGACCTAACAATGGAGGCTAGTCCAGGATCTCCGCCTGGTCCATGAAGCAGTAGTGCCTCTCCACCCTGTAGTTCCAAATCCCTATAAGCTTTTAGCCCAAATACCTCCAGGTACTGCTTACTATTCTGTCCTGGATTTAAAGGATGCCTTCTTTTACATTTCCTTACACCTTAAAAGTCAACCTATCTTTGCCTTTGAGGACCCCACAAGAAAGTCTGGACAGGTCACTTGGACTGTGGTCTCCCAGGGATTCAGAGACAGCCCCTACCTCTTTGGGTTAGCTCTAACCTAAGACTTGGCAGAGTGGCAATATCCACAAGCTACTCTGCTACAATATGTACATGACCTCCTGCTCTGTGAACCAAATGAGCCTGTCATTTCACGAGCCACTGAGTCCTTACTAAACTTTTTAGCAGACAGAGGATATAAAATCTCTAAAGAAAAAGCCCAATTGTGTCAGTCTAGGGTTACATATTTAGGTCTTATCCTGGAGAAAGAAATGAGGTCTCTAGGAGAAGATAGAATCCATCCAATCCTGATGTTTCCTCTACCTAAAACTCTAAAGCAATTGAGGGCCTTTTTGGGGGTCACAAGATACAGTAGAATTTGGATCCTGGGATATGCAGATCTAGCCAGGATCTTATATCAAATCCTTAAGGAAGCACAGAAGGATCCCCAGCCCTTTATTGAATGTGATGACAAGTCACCAGTTAAAAAAGGCTCTTATGACAGCTCCAGCCCTGGGTCTCCCAGTACAAGACAAGTTTCAAATACATGTCTATGAAAAGGGAGGACTGGCCTTGGGAGTGGTGACTCAGCTCCGGGGCATCACTCCCCAGCCAGTAGGCTACTTGAGCAAAGAGTTAGATCAGGTAGCCAATGGAAGTCCAGGATGCCTCAGAGCAATGGCTGCAGTAAGTCTTCTAGTGCCTGAAGCTCAGAAACTTATCCTAAACCACCCCCTAACGGTTTATACCCCACACGACCTAGGGGGAATTTTAAACTCAAAAGGAGAATTTCAGCTATCTGACAGCTGTCTACTTAAATACCAGGACCAGCTTCTGGGAGGGACAGAAATAACTTTAAGGATCTGTCAGAGCCTAAATCCTGCATCCCTTCTACCAGAGGCAGAGGGAAATCCTGAACACTCACGTGAGGAGGTACTTATGGAAAATTATGCTGCCTGACCTGACTTAACTGATCAGCCCTTAAAAACCTCAGATCTAGAATTATACACTGATGGCAGTTCCTTTGTCAAAAATGGTGTCAGGTATGCAGGGTTCACAGTTGTGACAGAATTTGGCACCCTCAAATCAGGTCCTCTTCCTCCTAATACAAGTGCTCAATTGGCAGAATTAGTGGCCCTAACAGAAGCCCTTAGACTATCAAAAGAACAGAGTAAACATCTATACAGATTCTAAGTATGCCTTCCTGATCCCGCATGCTCATGCAGCCATCTTGGAAGGAAAGGGGAATGCTAACTACGAACAGGAACAGCATCCCATAGCGATAAAAGAGAGGTCACTTTAATAGTTTTAGGGAGAACAGCATTAGTTGCAGCCCTAGCTGGAATCAGATTTGGGGTGATTGCCAATCATGTAACTGCAAAAAACCTAACCAAAGTGGCAGAGGACACCTCAGACCAGGTAGGGCTTGCCATTAAGGGCATGCAAAGATCTTTGTCGTCCCTTTCCTGTATGGTTATGGACCACCGCCTGGCCCTAGATTTTCTTTTGGCTAAACAAGGGGGGTATGTGCCATTGCCAATACCTCCTGTTGCACACATATAAACACTTCAGGTATTGTAGAGGAACGTGCAGATCACATTCTCCAACAGGCTAAATGGCTCTGGGAGCAATCTCTTGAAACCCAGGTTTCTACACAGGTGTGGGACCAAATAAAATCCTGGCTTCCCTCCAGGACTTGGTTCTATCCTTTCCGGGGCCTATAGTTGCCATTATTCTCTTGCTTGTGTTTGGGCCCTGCATTTTAAACTTACTTGTCGTTTGTTTTTTCTCACTTAGAATCCATCAAACTACAAATGCCTCTGGTGGAGATGAAAACGACCTACTACCGTGGTCCCCTTGACAACCCCTCTCGTGGTCAGCCCTGACACTGCGGGCCCCTTCATCACCCCCTGTCAGCAGGAAGCAGTTACTGAACAGACTTCGTTGTCCCTATTCCTAACAGCAGTTAGGGCGGTCACTGAGAGGGGGGACTTGAAGGACAGACCTTGGGAGAACAAGGAGACACTTCTCCTCCCTAGGAAATGCCTGTTTGCATCTGAAAGGCATCTCCACCATCAGGCAATGCAAAAAGGCTATAAAACCCCACTCCCCACCCCAACCCACTGGGATCACCGGTTTCTGGTTTCCCCAATATGCAGTCTTTCTCTTCTGTTTTCTCCAACTAAATTCTCTACAAATAAAATCTTTCTGACCTCTGCTGCTGGAGTCTGTCTGTGCTTTCATTCTCAGAGCAGGCTCAAGAACCCTGAGCACCTGAAATTCCTGTGCGTGTCATCCGTGCATCAGTGGGAACCTACAGGGAAAGCAGGCTTTGTCAGAAATGCACAAAGTGGACATTAACTAAACATATGAAGATGATCTTACTTGGTAACTACTGGCAAGATGGAAAAGAGCTGAGCTTCATCCAAGATTGGCACAAAGGTAATGGGTTTTAGAGGGAGCATGAGGTTGTCAAGAGGGCTATGATGGGAGCTGAAGTCAAATCAGGCAAGTGCAAAATTATAAAAGGTCAAGCCGGGAATGGTGGCATACCTCCGTAATCCCTGCACTCAGGAGGTGGAAGCACTCACAATTAGAAGCCAACCTAGGCTATATAGCAAGATCCTGTCTCAAAAATCAAGGGCTGGGGATGTAGTGCAGTGGTAGAACACGTGCCTAGTGTTCTATTCAAACCCCTGCAGTGAAAAAGAAAGAAAACCCCACAAATTTAGAGAAAACATTTATGTGTGTATCTGTTAAAATGTTTGTATCTTGAATGTATAAAGAATTTGTAATTCAACAAGAAGACAAATTCAAGTTTTAAAAGTGAGCAAGGGGTAGAGGGATGGCGCAAGTGGTTAGAGCACCTGCCTAGCAAGTGCGAAGCCCTAAGTTCAAACTCCAGTACCACAAAAAAAAATTAAAAGTGGGGAAATAATGTGAAGTATGGATTCAAATTATTATTAGCACCCAGAAGATTGCTAGTAAGAATATAAAATGGCATAAACATTTTGGAAAACAGTTTGGTAGGAGCCCAGTATAATTTACCATGAAACTCAGCTCAGGCATTCATATAGGATAAATGAAAGCATATGTCCACACAAAGACTTATACATGATCACAGCAGCTTTATTTGGAATAACCAAAACCTGGACCCAACCCAAACCATCAATAGGGTGAGTGGGTAAAACAAACTGTGCTGTTGTCGTATCACGGAATTCTACTTAGCAATAAAAGGAGTGAGTTATGGATTCACCCATCAACATGGATGAACCTCAGAAACATTGGACTGAACAAAAGAAATCAGACATGTAACTATATACATACATTTGGGCCACTATAACAAAATACTGAGGGCGAGGTAGCTTGGAATCAATTGATTCCTCACAGTTCTGTAGTCTATGAAGTCCAAGACCAAGGTGCCAGCAGATTTGGTTCATAAATGATGCTTTCTCACTGTGTCCTCACATGGTAGAAGGGGAAGAACTAGCTCTTTGGGGCTTTGGTTATGAGGGCACCAAGCCCATTCAGGAAGGATCCACCTTCAAGACCTCTGAAAGACCCCATCACATTGAGGGTTAGAATTTCAACATCTGAATGGGGGTGGGGACCTCAAACCATAGCAAAGCCATGAAGTTCCATGTATATAAATCACTAGAAAATGTGATCTGATCTTTCCTAATAGAAAGCAGCTTGGCAGTTCCCTAGGTGGTTAACTGAGAAAAGGTGGAAGTGACATTTTTTGGTTTTTGGTTTTTTTTGTTTTTTAGGCTCTTTTTGTGTTGGTTGTTTTTGAAATAGTCTCACTTTATGCCAGAACTGACCTGGACTGCGATTCTCCTATTTGTGCTTCCCTGCATAGCTGGGATGACAGGCATGAAACACTGTGTCCAGCCATGTGAGATGGGGTCTCGTGAACTTCTTTTGCCTGGGCTTGCCTCAAATCTCAATCTTCCTGGTCTCAGCCTCCCAAGTAGCTAGATTATACGCTTGAGCCACTGCACCTGGTGGCAAGTTGTGGCATTTTGAAGATGTAGATTATGCCCATTTAAAAAAACAAACAACAACAAACCCTCAGGCATGTATTCCTTCAGGGATAGATAGTCAACTAGAATGGAATACAAGGCCATTAGAACAGACCACAGAGCCTAGAAACAGATCCCTAGGTATCTGGGACCAAAAGTGAGAGAAGAACAAAACAGCAAGGAAATGGCAGACTATGGGAGAACTGGCTCTCTATATGGAAAAAGATAGGATTGGTTCCCTACTTTAGATCATGCACAAAAATAAAGTTCATGCAAAATGTCAAATATTTAAAATAAAGCATAAAAGGATGACTTTATAACGTCAGGAAAAAAGGACAGATTTTCCAGATTTTCTGGAAGAATGTTGTTGCAGTGCGTATTAGTCAGTCATTTTTCACCCACTAACTACATCCCATTCCTAGCTGCATTAGGAGCTAAGCACACGTCCTCTTTCTCCCCTATGCAAAATCCTCATTGCGATCATCCTTAGGCCATTTTGAGTGGTGGTGCTGGAATTGAACTCAGGACCTCATGCTTGCTCTGCCAGTGAGCTACACCCCAACCAAAGTCATTTCTCTTGAATAAAGTCTTCCTTCTTGTTTTTTAACAAATGTTGGTACAATTTTTCTTAAAAACTCTAACATTCCCTAATTGTAACATGCCGTGTGACTCTCAGTTCCCAATCTGTACAATGGAGACACCAACACCTCCATTTTGGAAGACTGGAGAGGGTCAAATGAAACTGAAAACAACTGATGAAGGTGCAGGGGTCCCAGTATTAGGTCATCCGGGAGGACTGGTCTGGAGTAGATTTCTTTGGGACAGAAGAAGCATAGGAAAGAAATGGAAAAAACTAGGTCCTTGAAGTTATGTGAGTCAGGAGTGGAAAGATGTTCAAAGGAAACCATGAGGCAAAGGGTGCGCGCTCTGGCCTCCAGAAGGGACGGACTTGAGAGACGCGTGCTCTTCTCAGCCCTGATATTAACGGTCTCTCCGGCCCTCGGACAATGAAGTTTGCAGAGGGGGGCAGTTTGTCCAGGCGGCATCCCCTGGGCTGCGTGCAAGGCCTTCGGGACATCACTGGGCAGTGACACCCTGGGTCGGTCTCCCGAAATGATGGGAGACCTTCAGCCTTCCAGGCCGGGATCTTAGCGTTATTGCGGTCCCTTCGGTCTGCACGCACTGACGAGACTCGTGACTCGCACGCAGTAAGGCTGCACAGTGCAGTGCCCGCGGTGGACAGCGCTTTGGGGACCTTTAGAGGGTAAGGAAATCCAGGCCCCCATCGGCCCTGAGCCTGGCGCAGCATGAACGCTACCCATCATGTATTAGATAAGGACATAAACTGCTTTTCTCCAAGGCCACACTACTAAGACGAGTACCAAGTCCTAAACGGCTACGCAGTCTCGGTGCAGAGCGCACGACGGCTTCCGGCCGCGGAGTGGGCGTGGCCCGTCGCCGCTTCCGGCCGTGGCCGGCCGCGCCTGCGCACTGGAGCCCGCCGCCGGCTGCGGGAACGTACCAACTGCGGGGCGGGGGTGCGCACTGAGACCTCCGCGTTCTCTCGCTCCCAGAAGCAGCCCCTCGTGTGCCCTGGAGTCCCCCTCCTCTGCCAGCCTGTTGGCGCGTCCTGGGGTCTTCTGTCCTCCACTCCTGCACAAGCGCGGCGGCGGCGGTGTTCTCCGGCTACTCACGGCGGGCTGTTGCCGGGAGGAGCGGGGCGTTCTGGTCGTTTAGCTTTCCCTGTGCGGTCTCGGCGGGTGCTCTCTCCCCTCCCCTGCACCTGGCCTGGGGTAAGCTGGGGAGAGGCGTGGGAGCTGAGGTTGGGGAGGGGCGGCTTGCCTGGACTGGACCTACACAGCCTTGGGACGACCCCTCCTCGGCCAGCCTTGTCTCCAGTGCCCCGTGTTCTAAACACACCGGGGAGGCCATAGTGTTTAGGGAGCAGGCAGCTCTTATCTATCATTCCCTGTGTGCCCAGAACTGTCCTGAAGACTGTTACAGGCATAACTCATTTAACAGTCTTGGACGTGGGTGCTGCCATTGTCCCCAAGACGTAGACCCGGAGCCGGAGGCACACTGGCGCATTATCACAGCTGGTGGGTAGCAGAGCCGGGACTTCAGTTCGCAGAGACCGCACTCTTGGCCCATTGTAAACCCTGACTCTGAGCTTCCAGGAAGGAACAAGGGTTCTGTAGTGTGTTTTTTGAAACTGTAGTCATTTTGTCACTTTTGCATAATGTGAGCGCTAATGAAGCTTGATTTTAAATCCTCCGAGGGGATGGGAGAGGAATAGACATCCTCTCCCAGTGGAGTTGGTGAGAGAAGGGGGCCAGCCGGCCTGAGCAGAGGGAGAACTGGAAAAGGTCTGGTGTGATGCTCGAATGCCCAGGGTGGGCTGAGTTCTGCACAAGGCCAGCAGTGAGGCCCCGGAGAAATAGAAGATGGCCCCCTTCCTTCTGGGCATGCTCTTGGAAAGAATTGGCAAAGCAGTCAGAAGAAAGTCCTAATTTAGGGATCAATACAGTTAAGTGCTGCCCCCCTCCCACGCTATTGTTGCCACAGCTGCAGGTCACAGCCTTTGAATCTCACAGTTTCCCCTCAGTGGGGGGGAGGGGTCCTGCTCACAGGCGTAAACTGCCTCAGTTTTCTCCCCAACGCGATGAAGGGACTTGCCTGCCGCCTTTCATATAAGAAAAAATAAGATCCCTTCCTAACTCCAAAACTAACCTCATCTTCCCACTGCGCCCAGTCATTTCCCTCAGGAGGTCTCCATGGATTTCACCTCTTACCTGAATAGTTTGCCTCGTCTCTCTTCCCCTTTGCATTTGGGAGCAGGCACTTTACTGCTTAAGTCACTCCTCCAGCCCTTCTTTCTCTGGTTATTTTTGATACAGAGTTTCATTTTTTGCCCAGTCTAGTGGTGTGGACTGAAATCCTCCTATTTTGTGCTTCCTTCAGTGGCTTGGATGACAGGTCCGCACCACCGTGACCAGCTTTTTTCCGTTGAGATGAGGGTTTCCAAAATTTGAACTTTTTTGCTTAGGCTGGTCTGGAACCACAATCCACCTGATCTCAGCCTCCCAAGTAGTTAAGCTTATAGGTGTGAGCTACTAGCAACTGGCCTGATGAGTTTCTCTTTAGAATTTACATTTTAGATTAATCTAGATTTGAGGATGGCTTTCAGTAGCATCCGCTTCACTGTCTTGATGTGCTCCAGTGGAAAAGAATAGGGTGATATTGTTGTATCACTGCCTCAGATCCCAGATCTACCCAACCAAGCTGTCAAGGATTAAAGATCCTGAAGCAGTAGCTTAAGGTAAACAGTACCTTACAAAACCAACTCCAAGCTTCTCAGTGTAATAGACTCAGTTTATCTTCAGCCCAGGGCCTCCTCTGGAAAGCCTTCCCTGCCTCTTTGCGCTTGCCGTACTTTTCTCAGCTCTACTGTGATGAAGCCATTTCCAAGGTTTTTCCTTTTTTTTTTTTTTTTTGGTGTTGAGAATTGAGCCCAGGGCCTTGCATGGCTAGGCAAGAGGTCTACCACTGAACTATTCTTAGCCTTCCATTTCTAAGTGTTCTCACCCTGAGCTCCAAGTGCCAGACATCTTGAGGTCACAGCACAGGCTCATGTGGATATTTTGTGACTTTGTGCTAAACAATTGAATGAATCAAGAGTATCTGCAAGAGTACAGAGCCCTAATGAGACAAGGTAATTGGGAAATAGAACAGAATTGCTGCCTAGGGTAAGCAAGTGGGTTTGTGGATGAGGTTTTGGAGTGTGCCCCAGGCTGTGGCTCTGATAGACAGATTTTTCCCTTTGTGTACTATTGTTGGTACCATGTTCTGTACCATGACCTGGTTTTAATGCTTTGTCCTACATCCTCCTTGATAGTGATACAGCCTATAAACTGGTACTGAAGGCTTGGACTAACAATCTGCATTACAGTCTCTTCAGTTATGAATTAAGAACTGAGGTAAGTCCCTTCCAGTCTGACATCCAGGTGCAGTTCTTCTGGGCCCAGGACACTATCTTGAGCTTCAGGTTTCACCCAACTCCCTTACAATGTCACTTCACATGGGCCTTCATTCATTTGATGTCTGTGTGATAGGCTCAAAGCTGCTGCCTCTTAACCCCTGAGATTCTTCTTCTGGTTGGGAAGAGTTCCTCCCTGGCAGAGTCTCAGGGCTACCTCAGATGGCTTGTCACCTGTTAGAGGCAAACCTGTCATCCCCAGTGATCTGTAATGTGTGACATCACTCAGTGTCAGAATGTGCAGGCTTTCCATCTTAATCTTCCTATTTGATTTTTGTTTTGTTCTGATCTGAAAAGATGCACCCTGCTGGTTTCCATATAAACCTGATGTGATTAGTAAATCATCTTCCTCTGAGTTTTCTCTGTCCTGAGGAAACACATCGTAGCTTGTTGGGCTCTTCATTCCCTTTCATCCTTTCTACTCTCTTCCTGTGTTTCTTATGACTTCTTAGCACTTCTCTTCATAGTCCTGAACTTGAATGACAGGGAAAGGAGTTGAGGATCACACCCAGGTTTGGGTGGTTGGAGGTCCACTTACCAGCTCAAGTTGATGGCAGAAAGAAAATGTAAGGGAGGTAGAAGAAAAAGTTAGGAAGAGAGCCCTGGCAGTGGATGAAGAGTGAGCAGCCTGAAGACTGCAGTAAGAGCAGAGGGCCCATGAGACAGCACAAAGAACATCACTTACGGTATACGCAACAGAAGAGGGAACCAGAAAAGAAACTGAAAAGGAGCCAGAGGTGGGAAGAAAACCAAGAAAATGCAGTGCTTGGAGCTGAGGTGAAGGGTATTCCAGAGCAAGGAAGCAGGCAGAGGCTTCAGGTGGTGTTGCAGAGAAGCCCATTGAATTAGTGGCAAAGCAGTCAGTACAGGCGTTGGCAAAAGCCACAGAGGTTTTGAGGGAGTGAGAGTGGGGGTTTGTCTGTGACAGAAGAGAGTGTGAGAGAGCACCGGGGAACTTGTGATCATTGGTGTCAGGGAGCCATCCCATCCTGAGTTGTGTGCAAGAGGCTGACTTCCAGACAAGGGATTTCAGGGGACACAAGCAAAACCTCTGATTTAGGATGCCATAGGCTGCTTTATTTACAAATATGGAGCCACAGGTACTGGTGCTAGGTGCAGCCCAAGTGCTCAGGACACAGCACTCACTGCAGGCAGCCCGGTCACTCCCCTGGAAACTTCTGAGATTTCTCACTCATTGAGGTCTGTCCCCTCCCTTTACAGCAGTGTGATATCCTTCGTACCCTCAGTGTGGCTCTAGTTCTGTGTATTGTGAGGAAAATGGGTGTTGCCTACTTTACTCTTGTGTCTACAACACATAGAAAAATCATTAGGTGCCTCCTGCATCCTCAAATACTGAAAGAAAAAAGTCGGAAATCAGTCAATGTGGTGAAGAAGATGGACACAGAAACCTCTAATGATCAGAGGGATGGGGACCTTGCAGGAGTACTCACCAAATAGGCTGTTGCCTGGGGAGTTCACACTAACTTGCTGCACCTCACTGCTTCTTTCTCTCCTGTCCTCTTTCCTGTCTGGCCTACCCTCCCCTTGGCATCCCTAGAGTTAAGTGACTGAGAGCCGTTCTTCTCATCTTGCCTTGCAGCCTGGGCCCATCTTCTCATTTCCCCAAGTTTCCAGGCATATTGGAAATGGAAGATATCAAAAGCACCCCCAGGAGACAGATACCTCCAGGATCAGTGGGGCAGGAGCCCCGTGTGAATGCCAACTCCCCAGTGACCAGACATAAGAGCCCAGCTGCCACCCTAGCTTGTCCCAGGCCTGACTTCAACACCAGAGCTACCAACACCCCTCATGAGCCTGGTGGGGCTGCTAGGGAGAGCCTGCCAGAGACTGAGGTCAAACTTGAGTTTTTGGATCTGGAGGAGAAGACCTGCAGTGGTCACAGAAGGAAAATCAGATCCTCTGGCTCCAAAAAGAAGCGCGAAAGGGACTTGTCCCTGCAAAGAAGCAGCCCCTGCCCCCTGCCCAATGGCACATTGATCCCTTCACCTGACGTGGACCAAGTTTTCCTGGAGAAGCAGGTAGAAGGTGCCCTTGGCTTGCCTGTCTGTGTCGGGAAGAGAAAAACTCGCTCCCTGGGGAGGTCTGGTCTTCACCCTGCCACCTCCCGTGCAAAATGCCGGACCAGCTCTGGGCAGAGTAAGCTGAAAGGAGACTCTGGAGCCCATGGCTGCAAACTTGTACCTGGACAGGAGCCCCCTGTACGGCCTGAGAAGAGGAAGGTGTCTAGGCAGAAGGCATGTGGATGGAGAGAGGAGGGGGATAAGACAGGAAAGAAGGCAAGGACCCTGCGGTGCAGTGCCAGCTGTACCCCCTCTGCATCAGCTCTGGGCCAGCCTCCCCAAGTGGCTGGAGAAGACAGATTGGACAGGGTGGAGGTGAACCAGCCTAAGGAGAATGATGAAGCCAGGGAAGCCGACATCCTCATGGCCCATCTGGCCAGAGATGGGCGGCATCTTAAGAAGTGGAAGAAAAAACATTTGCTTCCTGGCATGAGGGAGAAGGTGGGGTCCCAGCAGAGCCTCCAGGAGCCCCCCTGCTTGAGGAAGCTGGTCAGAGATATAAAAGCAGAGACCCAGGACTTGGATTCTGTGCCACATTCCCTAGGCCCTCTTCATACCGCGGGTCCAAAGCCCATTCTAGACATCAGGCAGTTCTTTACTGTCGACTTGAAGAACACCTGCCGGATCATCTGTGCACTGTGTCACACTGGTGTCAAACGGAGCAGAACCATGGGGTGGTCCCGAGTCTCAGGCCTTGTCCGTCACTTGGCCAGTAAGCATGGACTGGAGTGGGAGAGAAGGCCAGCTGTGGGCAGCCCAAGTGAAGGGGCAGGAGAGGTAGAGCAGGCACAGCAGAAGGCCTTGCCCACTGGAGCTGCCACCCTTGCCTCAGGGGAGCTCCCAGATACCGCGCCCTTGGGAAGCAGCAGCAACAGAGAGCTGGCCCTGGGTGGACCCGAGCAGCTGCTCCCAGTCCCACCACCCCTGGCTATTTCCCCCGTAGCAGACAAACAGAGTGGCGCATATGCCCCCAGTCAGCCCTGCACACAGGCGTGGAACCACAGCATTGCAGAGCTGCTTTGTAGCCTGACCTTGCCACTCTCCTTTGTTTCCTCCCAGCCCTTCAGAAGGTTCATGGCTCAGGTGGACCCTTGCTACCACCTGCCTTCCCCGGGCTTCTTCTCTGACAAAGCCTTGCCCCTGCTCCATGAAGCCATGGGGGAGCAAGTGCTTCAGGAGATGCAGTGGGCTGAGGGTGGCCATATTCACCTCACCACCTCCATGATGACCCAGGATTCACTGGTAAACTATGTGGCCATCACTGCCCACTGGGTGCTGACCCAGAAGTACAGCAGGTCTGTGACATCAGGAAGCCTGAGGAAGCGAGCCGTGCTCTGGGTCCGAGGCCTACCTCTGGAGAGAGCTGCAGAGGACAGACAGCCAGAACTACTGGAGCAGATCAGCCTGTGGCTGTGCCGCAGTTCCCTGAGAGCTGGTTTCCTGGTGTCAGGTGGCTGTCCCAGCCTGGAGCAGGCAGTGAGAGCTGAGGGTTATAACCACATACCTTGTTTCGCTCATTGCCTTGACTCTCTGGTGAGCGACTTTCTTTGTCACCATAATAGTGTTCAGATCATTCTGGGGACAGCCAGGGCCATCTTCAGCCACTTCCAAGGCTCTCCTGAGGCCCGGAGGCTCCTCAGCCAGCTCCAGCAGCAGTGCGGCCTTCCAGCGCAGCAGCCCTTTGAGGAGCTCTCAGATCACTGGGTCTCTGCTTACCGCTTGATGGAGTGGGTAGTGGAACAGCAGCAGGCCCTGCAGGTGTATGCAGAGAGACAGCAGCCCGGCAAGGCCAGCACTGCCCTGTCAACCATGTTTTGGAGCCTGGCAGACAGTCTCGTCAAGCTTTTGCAGCCCTTCCAAATGGTGGTTTGTGAGGCCAGCACAGCACAGGCGTCCCTAAGTCAGGTGCTGCCCCAACTGCGCTATCTGCACATCTTCCTGGAGCAGGTCCACAGACACTTTATGGAGCAGAGTGGTGGGGAGGTGGGTGTGGCCTTGCGGCTGGCTGAGGGCTTGGCCCTGCAGCTCTCTACAGACTGTCAGCTCAGTGAGCTCTTTCATCGTGAGGAGTTTGTGCTGGCAACCCTGCTGGATCCCCGCTTCAAGGGTAAGGTCGAAGCCATCCTGCCTGTTGGAGCTGACATTGACCACTGGAAGCAGGTTCTTGTGTACAAGGTGAAGGAGATTATGGTATCTGAATACTCCTTGCCTGCCTTTGGCACCATGCAGAGCGCAAGGGGCATTCGTGTGGGTGCTACCAGAATAGGCAGGAGCCCCGGGGCCAAGGGGAAGGGCCAAAAGGAGCCTCTGCAGGGAAGTGGGGACTCCAGCTCTTTCCTGCTGGTCCAGAGGGAGAAGAGCTTGCTGGAGCAGTTGGAAAGTGTGGGATTGCTGGCCTCTGAGAAGAGCGGGGCCTCACTCTCCACCGAAAACCACCTGGCTAGTGTCATGGTCAGGAAGTACCTGCGGGAGAATGAGACCATCGGGGCCCAGGAGGATCCACTGGCTTACTGGGAGAAGAAGCGTGAAGCCTGGCCGGCCCTGGCTAGGCTGGCCTCCATCTATCTGTCTTGCCCGCCCACGGGAGCCTTCTGTGAAGGTGTCTTTACCTCCCTAAACAGCCCCACCATTACAGAACCAAACCCTCCTCTCAAAGTGGAGACCATTGAGCACCTGCTCTTCCTGAAGACCAACCTGGAGAGCTTCCCCCACTACACTCCACCGCCCCTCGTCTCCAGTACTGGCCCAGCTGAGGGGGAGCAGACCCTGTAGCCTGCCTGGTGTGTCTTGGTAGGCAGACTTGGGTGTACATGTGGATTCCTCAGGAGCACCCACAGTCTGCTGCCCTCAGGACTTACCTCGGCAGCCCCGCAGTATATAGGGGTGGGGAGTCAAGAGTTAGATCCTACTCATCAGAATCTTCAGTCTGTTTGGAGAGAATGGGGACAGCTTCTTGGTCCTCGACAGAGTGCCACATTCATTTTTGGGGGAAGTCATTTTCCATCCCTGCATTGTTCCATTCTTACCTACCATGTGCATAAGAAAGGTTTATTGGGTTTATCCATGGCTGTGAGTAGTACTAGGCAGTTTTATAAACTCAGCCTGTATTGGAATACTGGTTTATATTAAGGGCCTTGTATATGGCTTATCCACGTGGCTGTGTGGATGCATGCCCTCAAAGAGCAGCCTTAAAGAGCAGCCAGGGACGGGGAGGCCTGTTGATGAGGGAATGTTGGCCTGGGTGAGCTTGCACATTTCTTCGGAGAAGAAACCCTAGGTAGAGGGGTCATCTTAGGCATGTGCGTGCACGGACATGCACGCACGCACACATACACACCAGTCCTGGGGATTTTAGAGTGGCCAGAATACACCCCTGATGGGTGAAACTGACCAGCTATCCTCAACTTTGTGGTCTTTTTTTTTTTTTTGCAGTACTAGGGTTTGAACTCAAGGCCTCATAGTTTTTGGTTTGTTTGGGTTTTTTGATATAGGGCCTTGCTTTTTGCCTGGGCCAGCCTAGTCCATGATCCTCCTATTTACCCTCATGCCATAGCTAGGGTGACCAGTGCATGGTGTGTTACTATGCCTAACTTTTTCTGTTGGGATGGGATCTTATGAGCTTTTTGCCCAGGCTGGCCTGGCACCAGGATCCTCCCAATCTTAGCCTCCCAAGTATTTAGGATTACAGGTGTGAGCCACTGGCACTCAGCTTGTCATTCTTACCAGTATGTGGCTGGGTCTGTATTCCACTTGCCCCTGGCCACCTTTGTAAGACAGATCGCTTATGTGGAAGACAGAAAGGGTCTATATAGAGCCCACTAACATAGGTTGCTCTGACTTTCTGTAGGACTGTATGCAAGATCTGAGTGCCAGGATCCAAGGAGTGAGATTGGATGAGAGAAAGGAAGAGACCAGGAGCATTTGGGGCAGGCTCTCACACCACCACAAGACTTGCAGATAGGCAACCTGAGAGTGCCTGGTCACTGGGCAAGGTGGCAAGACCTAACATCATCCTTTTGCCTGACTGGCAGCCCTGGCACTCTGCCCACTGTCTTTTCCTGGATGGGTTATCAGTTGTGTGTTTTCACTGTGTGTTTCATTAGGAAATTACTGAAAATGTAAGGAAGCAGGAAAAATTAATTGTGATCCTGCCACTCATTTGTCAGTGCTTTAATGTAGTCCCTTTTTTACATTGAGATTATACCCTATGAACTATTTAGTATGTAATGTTTTCAAATTAACAATAAACAATTGCATTTTTTACATAACACTTTGTAAACATATTTAATGGCTGAAGCAGTATGATTTGAATTCTAGACTGGCCTGCACAGTGCTCAATGCTCACAACTTCCTACAGCTCTAGGAGTGGATAGAGGGTGGGAGGGAGGTGTTTACAGGCTCCCTATAGGAGGTGAGGCTCGTCATACTGCAGCTGGATGTCTGCAGTGTGCTCTGCTGTGCATCCAGAGCCCTTGGGTCTTGAGCGCAGGGCTTGCTCTGGCTGACCCTGAACCTCTGCCTACAGTCCTGAACACCCCTCCCAGAATCCTGAGTCTGGAGATGGGAGTAGGTGGTTTCAGAATATGACATACCTGAAGGTGCCATAGGAGTGGCAGGCCTCACTGCACTGAACTGGCTCCCCAGTGTTCTCAGGATGGGAAGTTGCAGTGGGGACAGAATGAGTAGAGATAGATGGGAAAGAAGGAAAAGAATGAGAAACCTATGAGGCTTAGGCTCTAGATCCTTGGTTCTCAACTGGGGGCACTTTTGTCACGCAGGGGAAGTTGGCAGTGTCTGAAGGTAGTTTGGGCTATCACAGCTGTGTGAAGGGAATGGTCCTATTGATGTCTGGTGGCTAGAGGCCAGGGTTGCTGTTAAACATCCCACAGTGCACAGACGGTCCACAACAAAGACTGACCCATGGAGCTGGGGGAGAAGCCCACTCTATTATAGAGTACAGGGAGGGATGGGGTAGGGGCCTCCAGTTCACCTAACTGCGAGGTGACTGTTCCCCTGTGGCTGCAGAGTGAACTGCTTCTGCCTTAGGAGCTTTGCCCTGCCCCTGCTTCTCACAGGTTGTTTTTCTGGCTCAGTATTCACAGTTGACCTCCCTCAGAAAGAGCCCTGAATGTCCATGTCATCAAGTCCTTTTATAGACTCACTTGCTGGACCAAGAGAACTGTGCACTTTATTCCACCACAAGGTCAGGCTGGCTTCTGTTTTACTCAGATGAGGTTGGAACAGTTTCGGGTATACAAAGCCATTTTCCACTGTGCCAGGCCTGTTGTCTAATGCACAGGTGGGTGGGTGCCCAGCAGTCCTCAGGGCGACCTGATTGTGGTGTGCAGTTGTGAGGTGCTATCATGACAACAGGGCAGAACTCCTTGACCCCCATGAGATCAGGGTTTGGTGTGACCACAATGCTATCAATCCAAACACCCTCTGAAACCCAGGCAGCCTACCCAGATGGAGATGACAGGACAGGGCAACACTGGTGCATTCAGGTGATGGAGAGCACGTCTCACCTGGGTGGCAGGGAAGGCCTGACTTCTGTGCCAGCTGGGTTTTTCCTCTTCTGGAAAATGTCCTTGCATCTTTAATGTGAGTGTGCATGATCACCAACTCCATGATGTCCCCTTCTGCCCACTCCCTTGGCTCTCTCCCTTCCGTGCCATCTCTCTTGAAAATGCTGCTGACCCTGTCGCTCAGGCATTCTACCCATCATCCTGTACAGTTGACTTTGGCCTCACCTCCGCCTAGGACTGAGCAGCTAGACCCTGGGCGTCAGCTTGGTCAGGACTTAACAGGTTTCTCTCTCTGGCTGCTCGTTGGTGTCCTCCCAGGCTCACAGACCAGGCCTCAGGAGTCCAGCACTTGACCTGTGCTCCTTACTGCACACAGGGTTCCTGGCCACTTTCACCCTGAGACTTACGGGGTACACCCTTCTGGAAAGATGCCGGCAGATACTACAAGAGGCCTTTCTCCCCAAAGGTTGACCCTGTTGCCTGAATGCCTTCCCTGACTCCAGCAGTCACCTTCTGCTCACAATGTCTGGGTTTCTTGAGCCCGAAGCTCTGCCTGCCTCCTAAGCCTAATGTCACAGTGTCACTCATACTTAGTGCTGTGAAAGTGGATGTCTTTTTTTGTGTGTGGTGGTGATACTGAGGCTCAAACTCAGGTCTTGTACATGCTAGGCAAGTGTTATACCACATTGTCTTCTGTCCCATCCTGTTCTGTCATGTCTGAGAAGGGAGCCCCCTGCCAGCAGGCAGTCACCTAGCCAGATCCCTCAGATTGCTCTTTCTGGCCTCTTCTCCCTCTGTCTTGCTACATGCCCTGGATGGGTTGGGTCCACAACTCGTTTATGTCTCTGCGGGTGTCTAGTGTTTGCAGTTCTAATTAGATGCAAAGGTGGCCTTGTCACCCCCTGTTTATACACCCCAGCAGGTCCTGGTCCCATTGAGGGGATCCAGACTCTCAGTGGATGCTGCCAGTCCCTTTGGAAAAGAAATGAGGTGTAAATAAAACAGAATAGGCTGCAGTGTTGCAGGTAGGGAGCTAGGAGAGGAAGGGCATTGTGAGGACAAGGTCACCTTCTCAGGTGGGATGGAAGGAGGATGTGTGAGATCCATTCGCAACCTCCCAAGCCCTGTCAGTGCTTGCAAACCACTCCTTGCCAGTGGGGTGGGAGGAGCTAATGGACTGCACTTTGGGCCTGGTTTCCTTGGAGGGAAAAATAAAAAGTGGTATTGATCATGTGAACTTAGACTTGGGAATCACCAATACCCTGTACCTACAGGTTCTGTAAGCAGCATTGGCAGTGGTTCAGAGGTCCTTTTCAGGCATCACCCATCCACTTGGCTTAGACTCCTGAAGCTGGGCCTGGTCAAGGTCTGCAGGGTTGGGTAGCAGCACTTGGAGCTCAGGTCAGCTTTTGTTTTCCTCTCTGCTTGAACCTTGACCCTCTGTGGGCTACATCACTAGTGTCCCTCCCCCAGGCTGCCTCCCTCTCATACTGCAGCCACACATAAGCACCTGGGCTTACGCTGTCCCACTGTCCATTGATACAATGCCCCTCACCTGTACCTTTTGGAGCCAGCTTAGTCACCCCCTGCACCTGCCTCCAAGGCTGCTTTCTTGACTTGCCAGTCTCCTTCAACTTGCCCCTTGGGGCCATGATGGCATATTTGCAGCTAGCACTGTGCTGTCTGACTCATAGTGACCAATGCTATTCTGCTGATCTCTGAGCACTTGATGCCAGAGCAAAAGCACTTGTTTGGGTGGACAGAGGCGGACAGGGGTTGGGGAGCAATGGCGTAAGAATTGGCTGTGTTGACAGACACCCTGGCCCTTCCCTCCCTTGACCTCAGCTTTTTCCCTTATTGAGGACTAACAGTGCATCCCTTGGGCCCCACTCCAGCCAGAGGGCGCTGGGCCACATAATCTGGGAATCACTTTAAATTCACTGCTAGTGTTAGAAGAATTAAGATAACATTTTTGAGTGAATACAGCAAGGTATACAGCAAGCTCTCGTTTAGGTTTTGTATGTGCATCACTATCCTGTGAAGAAAACATGAAATTGTGGTGGCTGCCTATTGTCTATTCAGAAATAAATTTAACTTTTTAAAGAGGAACACCTCAAGACTAATGAAGTCTAATGGATCACAAGTGGTTACTGGAAAAGTAAGATAATGAGAGTTCTACCCTCAGTTCAGCTTTGACAGATGGCCAGAATTGGTGATGTGGGGACTGATCCCGTGCATCAGGGCCCTGACCAGTGCGGTGAGCCAGGGCTGTGCCCTGCCCTGTTACTTAGATGGGGCTCAGGTCTTGCTTGGTTGTTGATTGTTGGCTCTGGGGTAAAGGCTGGTGGATCAAACATTGTGCTGTTGCCTGCTACACAGGACACAAGTACTCTGGAGAAGACTGCCTGACTGTTTGTCTCTCCTTAGGGACCTTCAGGGCCTCAAGTAGGGCACCAGAAAAAGGCCTCCTAGGACTAACCCAAGGAAAGTTGAAGGGAAAGCAGCCAGTTGATCCCCATGGCTCTCAGGTCCCTGTGACAGTGCTGCCCAGGCCCTCTGCATCAACTTCTGCATCATGGAGCCTCCTGGTGAGAATCCAGGAGAGGCTGAAGGGCTACGCATCACACCCCAGCTGCTGAAGTCACGCACGGGAGAGTTTGCCCTAGAGTCCATCCTGTTGCTGAAGCTGCGAGGCTTGGGGCTGGTGGACCTGGGCTGCCTAGGAGAGTGCCTAGGCCTTGAGTGGCTGGACCTGTCTGGCAATGCACTTACCCAGCTGAGCCCACTGGCTTCCTTGCGCCAACTGGCAGTGCTCAATGTTTCCAATAATCGGTTGACAGGGCTGGAGCCACTTGCCGCCTGTGAAAACCTGCAGAGTCTCAATGCAGCGGGCAACCTGCTGGCCACTCCTGGCCAGCTGCAGTGTCTAGCTGGGCTGCAGGGCCTCCAGCACCTGCGGCTCCGCGACCCTTTGGCACGGCTCAGCAACCCACTGTGTGCCAGCCCCTCCTACTGGGGTGTGGTTCGAGAGCTGCTACCTGGCCTGAAGGTCATAGACGGGGAGCGTGTGAGTGGGCGAGGCAGTGAGCTCTACCAGTTGTGCCGAGACCTGGACAGCTCCCTGCGCTCCAGCTCCAGCCCAGGTCCCAGAGCTACTGAGGCCCAGCCCTGGGTAGAGCCTGGGTACTGGGAGTCCTGGCCTACCCGAAGCAGTTCCATCCTGGAGGAGGCCTGCCGGCAGTTCCAGGACACCCTACAGGAGTGCCTGGACCTGGACCGCCAGGCTAGTGACAGCTTGGCCCAGGCCCAGCAGGTTCTTAGCCCTGTGGGCACCACCTCTTCCCTTGTCCTCTGAATGTGCCCCACAGTCCAGTACAGCATGGCAGGTAGCTTTGCTGCCTGCATCTCTCTTCCCTGCTTCTGCACGTTTCACCTGACCAGGGACCTGCAAGCCATGCTGTTTATTTATCCCTGTCCCAAGAGGAGCCCTACTTCCTGTCCCCTCAGGAACACTTCCCTGCCCTTCCTCCATGTCAGTAGGGTTGCACCTCCAAGTCTGCATCCATAGCAGCTGCTACTCCTGGCTTCCCCTACCTGAGACTTAGTGTCTAGAGTTACCTCTCACACACCAACTCCATTAAATAGCTCTGTGTCCATTTGTATCATTCCCTGTCATTCTTTGAGGCCTCTGCCTTTGGTTCTACCCAGAGGCTCCACTCACCCCATCTGCTGGCTCCTGGGTGTCCTGAAGAAAAGAACCTGTATGCACACTTGCACCCACACCCACACACTGCCCTTTCAGCTGGTCTTGAATAGGCTGAAGAGGAGCAATGCAAGGAATAGAGGTAACAGGCTGGGAGAGAAGTTTTATTAGCCTGGGATAGGATGCAACCTTCTGCCTGGGAGGGGCGGGTCTTCCACTGGGTACCAGAAGTGGAACAAAATTCTAGAGAAAAGGAAAAAAAACTGAGATTTGGGTGTGAAGGAGGCTTCTCTAGTCCAGCTTTCTTTAAGACTCTCATCCATCCCTTTCCTGTTCCTGGGCCAGTCTCATCCCAAGGGCTGTCCAGGCCCCCTGGCCACTTACCAGTCCAGGGCTCAACTGTGATGTGGAGACTTGACGAAAGCAAACTGTCCAGGGAACTTATAGCTGTGGGAGTCCTCACCGGCTTGCTCCACTCTGCTGCACTGGGGCTCCTGATGCTCCTGGGGCTCCTGCCAACACCAACAGTTGTTCCAAGCAGTGCCCAGGATGGTGGGCACCTCCACATTACTCAGGATGCCTGGACCATGCCCAGAGCCCCTTCTTGTCCCCCATTTCCTGCCGATCCCTCTTCATCCAGGCGTTCTCTACGTCTCCCTCAGACCCAGCCTCTATCCATCTCTCCAGCCCCCTCCCCAACCTCTACCCTTTCTTACTTGTCGCCCTTGCATCTGTATAGGGCAGTGGACCATCCGGCCTAGGACTTTACCCTCAGGATCCAGTTTGATGCAGGCCAGGCATTTACGCTTTCTCTGGAGAGGGAAGCGGGGCAGGAGAAAGCAGAGAAAAGGGTGAGGGAGGCATGTAGCACCATGAGGATGGGAGCTGACCACAGCAGGGACACGTTCCCTTGGCAGGCTCTAGAGCGGAGGGGCAAGTGCTCACGCAAGCCAGCTGGCTTTAGGCACAGCCCACTGTAGGACTGGGAGACAGTAGAAGTCAAACAGTCTAGCAGTTTTCAGACTATGGAATATGCATTTTGGGGGGACATGGCTGGCATAGAACTCATGATCCTTCTGCCTCAACCTCCCAAGTCTTGGGATTACAGACAATCATTCCCGCCACACCAAACTACGGAATTTATTTAGCATGTGTGTGAGGCAGGAATCCTTCCCATATCAGTGTGTGTGTGTGTGTGTGTGTGTGTGTGTGTGTGTAAAGGCAAGAATCCTCCCGCGTGGGCTCTCCCCACCTGACTTCCACCAGAACCACTCCACTGTCATCTGTTCTGTTTCTATTCTGTTTGTTTATATTTTCTTGTCAGATTTAATTTGAGCAAAAGGATCCTAAAGCCAAGAGGTTTCAAAATCACTGATGTAATCCAGCCCCCCTCCCACCAACACATACACCCTTAGCATTTGGAGGAAGCTTAGGCCTTCTGTAAAACAAAACTGATGGTTTTACAGAGCAGGAACTGGAACCCAGAGGGCTGCACACTAGCCCAGGGGTCATCCATAGCAGTGACTTTGCTGCTTCATTCCTGTGAATCCCTGCCTAGAATCAGCCATGGTCTAACTGAGGGGTGGAGGGTGAGGGGCAAACCCCACACCAAGAACTTCTTCCATTAATGACCTGAAGCCTGGGGGAGGAGCTTAGCCAGAGATGGACCCCATGATGGAGACAAGGTCCCTCCCAACCCATCCCTCCCCTACCTACAGTCCTGTGGACTCATATAGGACTTCCTCACATCCTCAGGGCTTCTTAAGGGATCTCCTAGTGCCACACACAGAGGCATCCGGGCCCAGCACATACATACACTTCACTCACCCCATTGGGCTTGACTTTGCAGTCAGGTTTCCTCCAGTCCTTCTTGGGACAGCTGGTCTGCTGGATCTTAAATTCCAGCCTCACAAAGGTGCCTGCTGGGAACTGCTGTGGGTAGGAAGACCAGTGGCCAACTGAGCATGCAGTTCCTGGAGGTGCCCTGGTCTTCCTTACACTGTGAACCAGCACAGCCCAGTAGGTGGCTGGGCTGGTGGTCCTCCACCCCCACTGTTCATGCCACTAACCGTGTCTGTGACGTTGTCCACACTGGTTTCCTGGAAGACCCACTGCACAGGGGGGTGCTTGTGGAACTCCTCCAGGGCCACCTGCAGGCCCCTGCGCTGTACGCCAGTGAGCTCAGTCCCGCTCACGCCCACAGTGCTCAGCCACAGGGCCAGTGGGATCAGCAGCCACCACATGGCTTCACCTCAGTTGCCCTGGCTCTGCAAAGAGGCTTTGTGGTACTCAGTTCCTCAAGCCAGCCACCCCCACCCCCACCCCGGCTCCAGGATCGGGGAGCATGCCCACAGAGCTCTGGGCAGAGGTGAGGAGCAGGGAGAATAGCCCTTTTTCCAGAATCTCTCTTGGCATCCTTCTGGACCTTTCCACCCTGCCGGGTGCTGTTCACTGGAGCCAGCAAAGTTTTCGTCGAGTTCCCTGCCAACAGCCTGTGAAGCAGTCCGGTTGCCTGTGGCTGCCTCTTTGGGGGCCCATTCTCTCTCCCCTCGGGATTCCAACCCCCTCCTCCCTCCCGGCGGTCCACAGAGTCCCTTTCTGCCCCCATCTCCAGCCTCTCCCCACTGAGGCCGGAATCTCCCTGCTCCCAGAGGTCACCCCTGGCGCTTCCCCTTATTCCAGGCTCAGGCCCAAAGCGGGGGAGGGGCAGGGGCTGGAGCCCAAAAGGAGACGGGCCTGAAGGGGAATATTTTTGGGACGACGTAAATACGTGGGTGGGAAGTGTTTAACCCTCCCCGCGCTGGGTCCCGTGCTGCCATCAGCCCCAGAAATGGGGGCCTTCGCGCCAGCTTCAGGCAGATCCTCCCTCCTTTGCCTCTTCTGGGGCTCCCACCCCCACCCCTCTTCCTCCCAGCCCTTTTAATCCCCTCCTCCGTGCAGGCCTGGGGTCGGAGAACCCTGTCTGGACAGGTGGCACTGAACCAGAAAGCCACAGCTGCGGAAACTGAGACCCTCAAGTGAAAAAGGTTACCAGGGTGGTGGCCCTGAAGTAAGGGCTTCACAGGTGGCCCTTGGGGCAGCTCCTTGGCCGCCCGCTGGCCGTCCAGCTGCCTCCCCTCACTGGCTGTCCCCTCCTCACCTGCTTCCCTGTGCCTTCGAGGACTCTCCTAACCTTCCGTTGTTGAATCCTTGGCCGGCTGTCAGCTTCTTCCCGATCTTCTCCCCGCAACTGGGTCCCCTCCCTCCCGGGGGCGGCCCCCACCTCCTGGCCCCCTCCGTCTCTCAGCCCCTCCCCGCTGGGTGGGAGGGACCGGCCCCCCTCGTCCCATCCCCCTCCCCTCCCTCCCGCTGGCCCGGCGCCTGGCCCTGACCCTGACCCTGGCCGCTCAAGCTGCTTACCCCTGCCATCTGGGCCTAGAAGGACTTGAGGCCGGACAGTCCCTGGTCCCACCTCCCCCTGGCTGAGGAGCCCGAGTTTCCCAGTGTCGCCTGCTGGGCCTCTTCCCCGCGGGGAGAAAGACAGCCCTGCTCCCCAAAAGGCTTCCTGCGCCCGCCCTACCTGCCAAGGTAGGACTGCCTAGTGAAGGACGTCCCCAGAGTCCTTGAGACTCTCATTTCAGGACATTCGTCCCAGAAATACACACAGGAGACCTTGAGGAGTCTCTCCTGCCTCCCACACTCGAAAGCCGGTGCTGAGACTGGTTTCCCGCATGGGGCTGATAATGGTGTCTGGTGTCCAGTCTGGAAACTGCATGCTGTTTTTCCTGACTTTTCCTCATGCTCCATCCTTGCTAGTGATAGACTCAGGTGTCATATGGGGTTCAGGTGTGGCAGAATGACTGGTAGGCGTTATAAGGCAAGTTAAGTGGAAAGTTGGGAAAATTAGTGTCCAGATATTGGCTGGGCTCCTGCAAATAGGCCAACCTGTGGGGCCGCATTTCAGTAACAGCCTCCGCCATTGGTTTAGTTCTAAGCCTTAAACCAGGTGCCTGAAAAAGGATCTCACTCACCCTCCCCAGTGTCTCAACTTATCTTTCTTATCTGAAAGTTGGCATTATAAATTGTTTGCTAAGGAGTTGTTTCAGGGATTAGGAAGGGAAACATAGGCAAAGGGACTGATCAGTGCTCAGCTTTGGGCACCAGGATTCTTCACACAGAGTCAAGGTCTTCCTTTACCATGTGCTCTGAGGAGAGCTTGGCTCCAGTGGACCAGTTACTGGGGCCTGAAATCCTGCCAAAGACAATTCAGTCCCTGGCTATCATTAAGCAGAAATAAGAGATGCAAGTTTGTTCTCTAAGAGCTTTAAGTGGGCTTACACCTAAAGGAGAAGATGGACAGCCACAGGATGAGATGTTTCCCAGCCCAAGACCCCATGCTGGAGGATGTCCTGGATATTGGTGACCCGAGAGAGCTTCCAGGACAAAGTAGGGTTTGAACTGAGCAAATGGGGACCTCATCCTGCTTTTGATGGGGGCTGCAGTGAGGGAGGGAGGCAGGCTGGTGAGAATTGATGAGGAACAGCTGATCTGGCTATAGGTAAATGGAAATACAGAACTCACTTTGAAGTCAGGCGACTATAATACTAGCTACTTGGGAGGCTGAGATTAGGAGGATAAAAGTTTGAGGCCAGCCCCAGGCAAACAGTTTGAGATATCTCATTTCCTAAATGGAGCAAAGATGGACTGGAGGCATGGCTCAAGCAGTAGAGCACCTGCTTTGTAAGTGTAAAGCCCTAAGTTCAAACTCCAGTTGCATAAAAAATAACACTTTGCAAAGCCAGGTGCTGTGTGTGTCTACAGTCTCAGCTATTCAGTGGCTGAACTAGGAGGAGTGCTTGTAATAGAAATATGCAGGCAAAAGCTGGGCCCAGCTGGGTCTCCATTCTGATCTCCATTGTGCCCCCTGGTTAATGATAAAACCATCCCTCTGCTCCTGGAAAACACACCTCAAAGAAACAACCGTTGGTTCTCCAAAGATACACACCACAGACCCCTTGCTCAATTGAGAGCTTTCCACCCCAACAACCTCAGTAACTTTTTCACATCAACTACTTCCTCATTCTCTCATACAAAGCACACATAAAAGCCTCCCTGCTCAGAGTCAGCGGCTGCGCCTCTCTCATGGGCAGCCTGGCAGCTTCAGCCTGCTTGCTGGAGGTGAGACGCTCTCCTGAGCTCTCTTTTGTGAGCGGCATTTCCCTAACAGCTTGAGTTCAGGACTTCAAGGTCAGCCAGGGCAACATAGAGAAATCCTGTCTTTAAGAAAAAAAAAATCACTTTAGGCATAGGGAATGTCAGGTGAGCACCTCAAAAAGGTAGACAGCCCAACTGCAGAGCAGTCACAGGTGTAGACAGGAAGGTGCTACTCATGCACCGTAAGCGCCATCGTGGAGCTTATGTCCCATACGGGACAGACCACAGACTTACCTTTTTAACGATGGTTATTTATTTTTCCAGGTATCATGTGAAAAAAAAATACAGTAGATTCACGTGATTCTAAACTTAGTTTCCCTATAACTGAATTTAAAAAAAAAATTTCCTTTAATATTTGCAATGACATTGAAAAACTAGTCTCTTTTTAGAAGTGATTTCCTTTTCCTTTTCTTTCCTTTGTTTCTTTTAGACAGGGTCTTGCTGTGTAGCCCAGGCTGGCTTTGAACTCATGATCCTACTGCCTCAGCCTCTAGAGTGCTGGGATTACAGGTATGAACCAGCATGACAAGTCAGAAGTGATTTCACTTGAAAGCAAAAGCATGTCAGCTTCAAAACTACACCTGTACAAGTAACACTGACTCATGTCAACTCAATAAATCTAACAAACTTACATTCAAAATTATATTGCATAAATTCAAAAGCAACTCCAGAGGTAGGCATAGTAGTGGTGGTGCACTTGGGAGGCTGAGACAGAAGGATGGTGAGTTCAAGGTAAGCATGGGTGCTCAAAAAACCCTCTAAATTTATCAGTACCAACAAAGCATTGGCCCAGTTGGTGGCTCACACCTATAATCCTTGCTACTCAAGAGGTGGAGATCAGGAGGATCTCACAGTTTAAGGCCATCCTGGGCAAAAGTGAGACCCCATCACAACCAGTAGTGGGCTATGATGGCACACACCCTATCATCTCAGCTATGATCAGGAAGCCTAAATAGGATCATAGTCCAGATAAGCCTGGGCAAAAAATGAGACCCTGTCCCCAAAATAACTAAAGCAAAAAGAGCTGAGGGCATGGCTTAAGTGATAGAGTGCCTGCCTAGCAAGCACAAGGCCCTGAGTTCAAGCCCTAGTACCGGCCCTCCAAAAAAGAAAAGAAGAAAGTATTCTTCACATTTATCTTGTAATTTTTATAGCCAACTTTTGTAACACCATCTACTATAAAAAAATAAACAAACAAAAAACCTCTGCACCTTTGTTCGTTTGAGAAAGGTGTGTCAAAATGATAATTATTGATCATATTGTGAAAATATTAGATTGAAATCCTTACAGTTGTCTGGCTAGGTCACAGATGAGATTTCCTTTCCTTGGAGCTTCAAATGTAGCTTAGTTATATGTAGAGTGATATTGGTGAGAAGATCTATGATGACTTTTTAAAAAAATTTTTTTTTGAGGCAGGGTCGCTCTATGTGGTCCAGGCTGGCCTGAATCTTGTGACCCTCTTGCCTCAGTTTCACCTGTGCTTGGCTTGACGTTTTAAATCTTCTATCGAAAGCATTACTTTTATTTCAAGAAAATCTCAGAGTTAGCTAAGAAAACAGTATACTTCAGAAACACTCTTCTACAACTCAACCAATGAGCTTTGACAAAGAAAAAGTCATTAAATTCATTGTCTTCTATGTCTTTCAACAACTCCATAAGCCGGCGATGAGTCATAGAATTTGAACTTAAATATTAAATAATTTTAGCACCAGTGTTCATGACAGTTGCTGATGTTTGTATCGGAAAGCGGAGCACAAATATCTTCAGTATGGACCACACAGTGAAATGAAATAACACGGGAAACACCAGGCTCTTGTTCGAAAATTCCAATATGTCTGAGCTGGAGGTGAGGGTCAAATGGTAGAGCACCTGCCTAACAAGCACAAGGCCCCGAGTTCAAATCCTAGTACTTCACTAAACAAACACATAAATAAATAAATAATCCAATACCTCAGTCATGTTAGCCATGTGTGGATGGTGGCTGCCATATTGGATAGTGGTAGTACAGACGGTATTACCAATTCTGTGAGTAAAAACTAAAAATAGGACTGGCAGAGTGGCTCAAGTGGTAGAATGCCTGCCTAGCAAGCATGAAGCCCTGAGTTCAAAAATAAAAATAATAAAAATGAATGAGGTAGACCTACTGTGTGTATGTTTGTCGATGCAAGGAATGTTTCCAGAACAAAAACAAGAAACTTCTCATAGTCAGGAGCCAGTGGCTCACGCCTGTAATCTTTAACTACTCAGGAGGCAGAAATCAGGAGGATCACAGTTCAAAGCCAGCCTGGGCAACCCAGGCAAATAATGAGACTGTATCTTGAAAAAACCCA